ACTCTATAAAAACTGTCCTGATTTTTGTACTAAGTGAGTTGTACTAAGCATTTGCTAATGCAAACCCAACATTTCCTACTGTTGGCTTCACATTAGAAGCATTACGTTTGCTTTTATTGTGAAGCAGTCATAGAAAATGCAATGTATTTGTCACAGGGGACAATGTTTCCAGCATGTTTTGACATCAGATCAGTCTTAATAAGGCAGGAAGCGATGGGACTAAAAGGAGCAGCCACATTGAGCTGTTAGATGAAGAGCTGCAGGCAACAGGCTGCTACCATCAGCACCTCTATCCTCCTTTTACTGTTGCACTTTGTGTGAAAAACTATTTGTGCAGTGTGCAACAAGAAATCAGATTACAGTTACTCATGGCATAATAAAAAGACTGATTATTGGCTATTAAAAGAGCATGAGTTTGTTTGCTTGCACTGTGAACACAGGTAAACACAGGTTGTCTATTCTTCAGAAATGGTGTTGGATATTTATTTGTGGCAATAACTGAGCTGTATGCAAACCACTGGTGGACTCACAAGGTGATTGTCCCCTCTGCTGCCCCATTGATAAAAAAATCAAATCGTGGGTCCTTGACTGCAATCTTGACTAAGATGTTTCACTAGAAATGAAATACATCTTTCTGCACGCTGGTGCCCTTTTAATTTTTTTCCCCCCTACCCCTCAAACAGCTTGAGTCTGCCTCTGATGCTAACTTTAGTCTCAAGGGTTAGAACGTTACCATTTCTTGGCAACACCTCTCATTAACTTCCATCTCCTTCTAGCCTTGTCTGTCTCATTGGCTATTGTGGTCCTGCTTGGAAAGTCTGTGTCCGTTGGGTCTGCAAGCAGGATTATGATAGGATTAATGATAAAGTGCACACGCTATGGAGTGGTGGCAGTAGGAGTTGCTATTAACAACAAAATGTTCAACTGAAGCAGCTCATAACATACCAAAACAGTTTTGTGGTTTTAATTCAGTTTGACTTAATTTACAAAAAAATTATGTCACAAAATTGAATCAGCTTCCTTAATGGTGAGTACATGCAAAGACTTTACATTACATACAAAGAATGGTACTCTGAATTCAGATTAAATGCTAGTTTGTTCTAGCTCTGCCCTTGGGTCTTGGGTCAGGGAAGCATATCAATGACATGCTTGCAGCGAGTCATTAACACTACTTTGTACTAAAATAATGTTCTAATTCAAACTGCTTACAGTGTGTTCTGCTGATTATCCAAAGCAATGGAGATGTTTTATTCTGGAATGACACATTGCTACTGAGTTTTTATGTTTCACAGAATGTCATTCACCGTCGTCATCATCATCATCATCATCATCATCATCATCATCATCATCATCATCATCATCATCATCATCTAAAATAATGGATTCCATTGGTTGAAGAAATATGTTTTTTGTGTGTGATTTTGGGAAATAAATATTTTAAGAATTAGCAGTTTACTCAAATTCCATTGCAATGCACAGTTTAACCTTGGTTTTGTTATTTAATCCCTAAAATGTCTAGTTGTCAGAAATCTGTATAATTTTTATTTCTGGTGATACAGATTTTTATAGATGCTAGAAAAGATGTGGTATTTATTTTTAAAATCTTTTTACAGGATGTGGGTTTAGGCAGGTATGATCAACCATGTATTTAATTCTACACTTGGGACATTGCAAATGAAGAGGCTGTTGTATATGTATCAAACTTTCAAGATACACTATGAAAAGTGGGGCTAATATTAAAACGGCACACTGCTTGAATCAGGGTAAGAATGTGTAGTTATAACAGTTTACAAATGTGAGAAAACTATTCAGAATAGAGTTGGCAGTATCATTTATGACAGGGCAGCAGAAAACAGCACACTGCAGGGAAGTGTTGTTAGTCCTGTGTTATTTGCAAGTTCAATTTTTGGGGTAGGGTTCTTATTTGCTGATGATGGGGCCATAATATAGAACAGAGCAGGAATCTTCCATTAAGTGGGGTTAGGGTCATCTTAGAGCAAATCCCAAAAGCCGTTGGTTCAGGCTTTAGCCTATTAAGGTTTGGCCTAAATGTTTTAAAAAAATATTAAGTGTAATATTTCAAATCAGCCTCAATGAATGTTGGGAACTTTCCCTTGATGGAATTAAAACACTTTTTGGGAGTATGGTTTGAGAATGTAGAGTGGCAACGGGAGGAAAAGGTCACATCAACAGGCAAGAATGCTATTAATGTTTGTAAAAGCCTGACTGGAGGGCTGGAAGGGGCGCGGTGAAAGTGGCATGATGCACATGATAATATCTATGGTTCATTATGGATGTGTGGCCAGTGGGTTGCCGGCAGTACCAGGCTCTTACAAATATGGAGTGGGGCAGTGTTGCACCAAACCAAAACCAGCTCTCCTGATAGAAAGATAGAAGCTAAATCCCTAGACAAAAAAAAAGATCGATCACAATTTCCAACCAAATCTCTTGGGAAAATTCTGAACGGATTGCGTAGAAACAAGAGAAGTTTAATGAAAGTCTTAAAAGCTGGAGTTGTAGTTGTAGGCCTAAACACGAGTCTACTAGTATGCATTTCAAATGTACTATAACGAGGAAGCAGCTGAAAGAACTAAAAAGGCAAACACGTTGGTCATTTTAAATACATATTGCCATGTAAAATAAAAGCATTTTAACCCTGCACAAACCCTACAGTGTGCCTTGGATCATCTGTATTTTTATTTTTTTATTGAGACCATATTTTACCCATAAAATGAGCCCTTAACAAGATGGAATAAGCACAATATACCTGAAGTAGTTGTCCTCAACTAAGAAGGCAATTTCAAGTAAAGAAATTCAGATTTCAGTCCAGTGTGGGCCACCAGAATGCGATGCAAGTGTGGCAAAAAACATGAGAGAATTGGAAAAATGGCAAGCCATTTGATACAGTCGTGTAAATAGGGCCTTTAAACAGAGAGGATTTAGCAAAGATAACAGGGATGAGGTTATTCTGAGCTCAGACGAGGACGAGACTCTTTTGATGTGAAAAATAAACGTGTTTTTAATTTTGCAGACTAGATGATAATTGGCTTAAATATGGGCAAAAAAATATTGAAGCAGAAATGACAGTGTTCATGGTAACGACAGCACAGCCTGCCAGAACACATGAAGATGGTGAAGAGGAAGAGTAGCAGTGGCCTGTCATCTAAGATTATAGCAGGGGTCTTTCAATTCGCAGCAGTCACTACAAAATCTACATAGTACAATTTTTCTACTTTTTACTTTTTCATTGTGTAGCAGATAGTCCGTTTTAAACCATGAATTCAAAATGTTTATCATTAAAAACAGCGTAGACATTTTCTTACAAACACACACTCACAAACACACAAACACACACACACACACACACACACACACACACACACACACACACACACACACACACACACACACACACACACACACACAGAGAAACCTGCTTAAAACAGTGACACCAATAATTAATGCCCAAATGTACCAATTGTTTATTCTCATTTTATTGCTGTCAGAGTTTTCATTAACTTCATAACTGCAGATCAGAGGAATTAAAAGTGTTGGTCTCAATGATGATTAACAACATGATTAATTATTAGCCAAGCAATTCATTTTTTTTTTTTTTTTTTTTTTTGAAAACATAAAAAATAAAATCTGGTGTGATTTCTGATGAAATAAAACAGTTTTAGTATTCTCTGCTAGGCCTGCATCTGTGACATGTACTGTGGCGTCTCATTCTCACATTAGTATACAGGCTGCTGCTCTTACTGAAGCAGCAGCTTTGGTTCCAGGCTGCTGTTGTGTGTCTGCTTCACATGTTCAAGATGCAAGATCTTACTAATGTTGCACTGATGCAGATTTTCTAGTTTTGTTTACAACAGACACCCCAGGATGTATATGTACTGATCATGTGAAGGAGGAGCAGTGGTCACACACACATAGCATAATCTTCTTTCCTTCACCCTCAGCCAAATAAATCTCACGTTTTGATTTACCCTTTAACTCAGAGCAGTCTATGTCACTGTATTAATTGCCCCTGATGCCTAGGGATTCCTAGGGAGCATATTTCTGACCCACAAATCTTGTCATAGTCACATACAATTTTCATGGCGACGTGTGAGGACTCCAAATGAGGGGCAGCAAGGCCATCTAGTGGTTCAAAACGGAAACGACTTGTTTGGGGCTATTTGGGCTGTACTGGAAGGTTTGAAAAACGGTTCAAACCTGCCAGTAATTTGCGGAGGGAGTCTTGGATTCATTTGTCGCTAAGTAGAAACACCTGTTGCTCATCATCTGCTCCTCATACGCCCACACACTAGCGACGGGTACTGCCTGTCGAGATAGGACACGACTTCACTCAATTTAATGACAAAAAAAAAGAGACACGCTGCATGCAAAATGTGTTTGGGAAGTGGAAACAAATGAGCATCTTCTTAATTTGGGCTCTTTACACTTGTGTTCTACAGCTATTCTAAACCCCAGGAGCCCTATATGTGAATAGATTTTTATATTTTTTATTTTTTTAAATATATATATTTTTTGACTTTCTTTCTTTTCCACTTTCTTTCATTGCTGCGATTTTATAACGTGCGCTGTCCTATTTCCCACCACACAAATCCCCACCGATCTTGCCCTGAGATAGCAACCTAACACAATTAAAATCATACATTTGGGTCTCCGAGGAATCGCTTTTACGCGCGCGCACACACACACACACACACACACACTCTCTCTCTCTCTCTCTCTCTCTCTCTCTCTCTCTCTCTCTCTCTATCTTCTGGTGGGGTGATATCATCTAAAGGCCATCAGTTATCTGATTTGATTTTTCACCAGCTTGACTGACACCTGCAGCGCAGTCGCAGCTCCAGAAGATGTTCTCTCAGGCTCTTCAGCCGCTCGGCGAGGAGCGGCTCTATTAGCAGTGAAGGCACAGAGCGCGCTGCTCTTCTCACAGAGTCAAACAAATGATTGTGCTGTGGAGGATTTAACTGTTTGAAATAAGACATTCTGAATAAGAGTAAGAAGGAATTTTGTTGCAGGCTGCTTCAGATGCATTTTACTTAAGAAGCAGACACTTGTTAACCTGGATATACTTTGGATTTTTCCGATGGATTTCTTTAACGATTCAAATGTTTCTCTTGAAGACACTAATTCAACAGCAACAGGTAGGTTGAGCAACCAGTAATATAAACCAGTCAACGACCACCTCTGCTTAATATTGTATAAGACATGTTTTTTTTAAATAGCCTAAACAAAAATTAAATGCAGTTGTTTTCTCCTCCCAGTTATGTTGTATACTTTTTTAATAAAGCTTTCATAGCCATATTGCACAAATTCCCTTCACAGCTTGATATGTTTGATTAGAATGAAATATGATACCTTCATCACATCAGTTTAAACTTTGGCTCTGCCAAAAGCTATATCCTGGTTTATAATTAATCTAGTAATTAATAAAGTAATATTAGTGTTACAAATGGCACCTAAGTCACTGACTTTGGTAAGATGTTTTTAGACATTTATGTGACTTTGTGTGTACACAATACTTATGCATAGCAACCTATTTTGAGGTATATTCCTTAAACATCATGTGAATAATTACAAATAACTTTTGCCCCCATCATCATCTGTCTTTGCTTTGTGCTGCATTGAAAGAGCCAGCACACACACACACACACACACACACACACACACACACACACATACACATAGGCACACATCTTTATGCACATGCACACAAATCAATAATTTCCACTCTGAAATGATCGAACAGCCTAAAAGCAAAATGGAGAAAATGCACAATCGTTAGTGTAGTGTCTGAGAATATATCTACCTATGTAATAATCCCGACAAACTAATATTGTTAATTGTAAATCTGCTGCTAAAGATTTCATATCTCACAACATGATTAAACAATGTACAATATGATATTACTTAATATTGTTCCTTTATAGTCAACTGCTGCTCTCTCTTTCTTGTCTCCAGCTGTTGATGCAGCCCTTCATTGCAGTGCCATCCTCCCTGTCATCTTCGGCATCATCTGCTTTCTGGGTATCATTGGAAACTGTATCGTCATCTACACAATTATGAAGAAGACCAAGTGCCGGGCAAAACAAACTGTTCCGGACATTTTCATCTTAAATTTGTCAATTGTTGATCTCCTGTTTCTCCTTGGGATGCCATTCCTCATCCACCAGTTGCTGGGCAACGGTACCTGGCACTTTGGAGCTGCAATGTGTACGGTCATCACTGCTCTTGACTCCAATAGCCAGATTGTCAGTACTTACATCCTCACCGCAATGACCCTCGATCGTTACTTGGCTACGGTCCATCCTATACGCTTCAACTACATCCGCACACCTTGTGTGGCAGTGCTGGTCATTGGCCTGGTGTGGGGTCTGTCGTTACTCACCATCATCCCCGTATGGATGTACGCAGGTCTGATGCCTCTCCCGGATGGCCTGGTGGCCTGTGCTCTCCTTTTGCCTGACCCAGTCACTAACACCTACTGGTTTACGCTTTACCAGTTCTTCTTGGCATTTGCTATACCTTTGATCATCATCTGCCTGGTGTTCTTCAAGATCCTCCAGCACATGTCCACCAGCGTGGCACCACTGCCTCCACGGAGTTTGAGGGTGCGCACCAGGAAGGTGACCCGGATGGCAGTGGCCATCTGCCTGGCTTTCTTCATCTGCTGGGCCCCTTACTACATCCTTCAGCTAATCCACCTAGGGGTGCAGAAGCCAAGTCTAGCTTTCTCCTACGCCTACAACATAGCCATTAGCATGGGCTACGCTAACAGTTGCATCAACCCATTCCTCTACATTATCCTAAGTGAGACCTTCAAGAGGCAGTTTCTCAGGGCTGTGCGCCCAATTAATAGAACGTTCCGTGTGAACCCGAGCACCACTGATGGTGGCAGTGTGAGTGTGAGAATGGTACCTGAAGGGGCTCATCAGGAGGAGCCAGCGTCTGGGGAGATGATACCATCCATTGTGGCTCCACAGTGAATCAGTAAATAAAAATAAAATTGGACAAACATTAGCACAAGAACATGTGTACATGCTGGTACTGAACAGTAATGTTTGCACATCAACTTCAATCGACCATTTTATTCAAACAATACGTTTGTTAGTTTATAGCCAAGAGCTGAATTAAAATACTGTTAGACTCATTCCCATCACTCCCAATCATGCAAAGCACAGTGTTACTGATTTAGCTGGGCTTTATTTTTTGAAAATTCAGTTCAATTCAGGCATGTGCGGCTAGCTAACAACATGCATTGACTCAATGAATTCCAGATGATACTGTTATGTTCCTCCACTCTGCTCTAGTTTGAACAATCATGAAGTAGATTTATACAGCTTGGGTAATCACACATTTATGTTAAATGGGAGACATTTTCAACCTGTGTAGACATATCTTTACCTCAACCTGGTGAATGCAAATGTTTTTGAGTCCACTCACATCTTTCAATTGAATTTTTTAACACAACTAAGTACTACTGATTAGGCTATAATAACAATGACTGTAAATTATGGGTCTGGATTAAAAAAGTGACCTTATCCCTTTTCCAGTTTCTTCCAGACTGGATCATGTATTGTAAATATTTTATGAAAGTTAAGAAAGTTCTGGCTGATGGCACACTATCTGGTAACAAGTGGAGTAAATGTCACAAATAATTGCCGCCCAGGGCAGTATTTCACATTGTAAACTCCCAGTAGATACTACATTATGATACACACACACCATGTTTAATGTAAGGATACTGTGAAGGACATAAAGTACATTATGTCACCGACACACATACATTCAATATAATATAAAGCGTCACACAGATGTTACTGCAGCTTTGATAATCATTCTTCTTTGTTCTCGTGTCGTGTGGTTCTGTGATTTCTGTGAATATATAACCTCTGTAGAATATAAGAATGAAGAATGAGACTGGAGATAATGTCTTGGATCATAAATTGTGAAATGCGAAGTCTCTTCGGCCCTTTAATGTAAGTATGTATGTTGACTTTCAATCAGCTGACTGACTCCCCGTTATAGTGGCAGTATTGACAGTAGCTGGAGAGCAGAATATTTGTATTATATTTGGCACTTTCCATTAGCCCTCTTTGTAATTAACAATTTTATCATGGAATGGGTAATTTCCAGTCAGGGACAATTAGGTTAGCTGTTCATGTTAGTTTTCTGTTCTTATTTTCTGTTTTATAGTAAAAATCCAGATGCATTCACCTGACTTTTGTTTTTTTAACTTTGTATATCTTTTTCAGCAGTGCTTTTAGTTATGTTGGCATTTGGATTGTTAATTTGTTTTTGGTCCTGCTTGTCTTGTTTGCTTGTTTGTTGTCAGCATCTCATAAACTTGTCAAGTTCAATGAAATTTGGAGTAAAGTTTGGCCATGGCCAAAGGGACAAGCGGGTAGTTTCTGGTGGCCCTTGTAGCATCATTTGGCTAATGATTGGCAAAGCAGTCACTCCAAGTTTCAGATTTTGTCCATTTCCTGCAACAATTGCACAAAAATTGGTGCCAATAGAACGATGCTTGTAAATCTGACTCACCGCACTTTTTACAAGCCAAAGAAAAAGGAAAATTAAACCGATTGTTTCCTGGATTTTACATTGCCAAACATCAAAGAGTAGTAGTTTCCTCCAGAGGAACCTCTGTAATAAGTTAAATGGTTGTTTGTGAAGCAGGCAAAGCTGCTGCATTTTTAGTATCGATTCAGTCTGAAATCCAAAGTCATGAATATAAATGAAGGGCTTTGATCTGGATAAGCTGATATGTCAAATCTATAAAACAGTGCCATTTTGCCAATGAGGTGTTGTTAATGTTGTTGCATTGAAATTAACTTATATTGTATTTTTAGCATGTACAGTTATGATGGTGTAATTATTTGTCTGGGAAGAGTTATTTATTTAAATATTAAATATTAAATCACTAATATGAAACTCAGGGTTTCTCAACCTTTTTTGGCCAGTGACCCAGTTTTCAGAGTCTCAAAATTGTCTTGATGCCAGAAAATTAGAGTGGTCAAGTTATTATTAGACTTGCTTACTTTTGTATTCTATTTTCAAGAGGGCAAAGAAAGCTCTGAATGTATGGTTATCAAACCATATCCTGTAGGGTCCCGACACCAAGGATGAGAAACTGATGGTGTAACTGTTGTTCTTGTCCATTATGAAGTAAAATTTAATTAATTTAATGTAGAAGTGTTAATTGTTGACAGAACAATAAGTTGTTGGCAATTGTATGTGTACTATTGTGAGCATTGACAGCTTAATAAATCAATATGTATACTGTGACAGAAATATTTTAATTTTGTACGAAACTGTTTGTTTTTTTGTTGTCTGACTTGGGATTTCACTCTAAATACATTTTTAACTTGCTCTAATATTTAATACACGTAGACATTTTTAGTCCTCGAATACATGTAGCTAAATGTCCTGAGATATTTTACTGGAGCTTAGGACTCATACCGCAGATTCCTCCCATGATCTGATACACATTTCAATTTTCTTTTCATCATCTATTATTTGACCAATTCAATAAACAACGATGAATCTTTCAAAAGTTTTTTTTTTTCACAAACAAGGAGAAATGAGAAAGTCTGGACAGGAACTGGATGAAATACGTGAGTTGAGCTTTTAATCATCAATGGATAAGTGAGTAGCAGAGAGAGAAGATGGCATGAAAGAGCCATGTGAGGTTGAATGAAGTAATTTAAAATTAAAAAAATGTTTGTGTTATTTGATCTTGGACTTTATGTGAAATATTCAACCATTTGTCGTTTTAATGAGAAAAAAGCTTCGATAGAGTTATCAAGATCTGACGTGACCAGCTCAACCAAACAGCAGCCTCAGCCTGAGCCCAGCAGCCGCTGTTTGTCTCAGTCCTACCGTACAGTCAACAGGTAAGGTAACGTATTGATAAGTTCGTCGTTGACAGTTCTCATAAAATTAGTACTTTATTCTCGCAATATTATGACTTTATTCTCGTAATGTTACGACTTTATTCTCATAGACCTAATATTATCACTTTATTCTCGTAATATAATGACTTTATTCTCGTAATTCCCCCCCAATTTTTTTTTTCTCTTAGTATGGCCTAATACTCCGTAGTAGAAACTGTACCAGAAACATCACAAAACAATAAAGATGAAATTCAGAATTTAATTAAATGCCAAGAATCATCAAAAAAGTTAAATTATCAGTCAATGGATCGATACATATCATTTACTATTGTCAGCACTGTGGTAGTTTTGTTATTTATGACAGAGACTGTCAACTTATTTTGACCACTCTACCCTTATAACCCTTATTTTTCTGTTAATGTAATCTCTTACAGAACTGCATATGGTGTGTCTGTTCTTAACACTATAGTGGTATTAGGCAACAGTCTCATAGTGTGGATTTAACCTTTCCCTGTATTTGTTGTTTAGTTACCTCAGTGAGAACTTTCAGAGATGAAGTTGCAAAAGATAAAAGACATTTCATTACCTTTACACTCAGCACTGTGCCTGGCAACCCATCCAGAACTTCACAAGGGGGGTGTGTTTCAAACATCTTGACATGCAGTCTATTGACATTTCAAACAGCTGATCCTCTTCTGCAGCGTTTAGAGCTGACCCCCGCTGCTGTCTCGTCACTAAATGGGCATAAAATCCATTTGCTGTGACTGCACCACTTGTCAAACTCAGATAGGCACTTTTTTCCAAAGAGTTTTTCTTTATCTGAATTGAGGGACTAAGGATAGAGGGTGCCATGTGCTACACAGATTGCACATGGCAAGTTTGTGATTTGTGATGTTCTGCAATATAAATAAAATTGACTTGACTTAACTCCACGAGAGGTCCCTGATGATCACCTGGATGTCAGCGCTGTCAAAATATTCCACAACCAGAACCAGTCTCTACTTGCTCTATTCAACTTTAAATGATTTATGAAAGCTTCAACCCATACAGCTCTAAAATGTTTGCACTTCAAATGCCTGATAAAAAAATAAAAAAACGTACTGACATTGTAAAGTACATAACAGTAGTGGTGATGGACCGCAGTTGATCAAACACCACAACAATCCTGATTAAGACGGAATTCAAGGGCCTATAATAAAAATCAACTAATGAATGGAATATTTCTCCGGTTGTTTATCGTTCTGACAAGAAGTTCACCTTTATAATGAAGATATATTCCATACAATCTAGGTGTAGAGTAAACTATTCTACAACTGAAATTACATGTTGATAGTTTCCTGTGTCACTTTTCTATTTCCCCATTTTGATGTGCATCAACGCTCCAGAAGATTGGCAATTTTATTAAGAGATGGTAGTAGGTACATTTGTTGGGATAGGCTAATTCAGGGAGTAAATTAAGTGAAATTGCTGCTCTTCTGAAGCATCAACATGCATTAGTCACCCAAAAGCCTACTTCCCTCAGTTATTTGAAATAAAGTAGTACACTGGATATGCTGGTAGCGATCAGAACCAGACAAAAATATTTAACAATTTGATTATTATATAGTATTTTAACAAACTCCTGCACTTTTGGGGTATTGCAAGGCTCCATTTTTACAACCACTCTTATTCAGTGTATACAACCCTCCATCTCCATGTTCTAATGAATGAAAATCACATCCATTTGTTGAGATTTGGAGATATGTGCCTGAAAGTTTTATCTATGGTGTTCAAAGCCTTGAAAAAATATGTTTTCTTCAATAGATTGAAGGGTGTAATTCAGCTATTTGTGTACAGACAGTCTGTGAGACTGGTAGTGTCATATTAATAATAATAATTAATCCTTCATTTTCACATTCAAATTATTGCATTTATTTACAGAATAAAAATTATGAAAATGTCAGATATCTTCATGTTTGTTTGATATGAGATGGCTCACAGAGTGAAGTCAGTTGCTTTTGGCACATGTGATCAGCAGGATTTCCAGCACAGATAGAATTTGAATTGAACATACTTGTGGAGTGAATCCTGTCTGGAGTGAGATGTCTTCTATGCAGCTCCATCTCCACAGAGAAACATGACGTCTACAGCCATGCCAGCAGCCCTGTGAACCTTTACTTAATCACAGTGGTGCTTACAGTTAGCATGCTAACCACATCATGCTCACAGTGACAATGCTAACATGCTGATGTTAAGCAGTTGTAATCTTTATCATGATCATTATCTGGGTTTAGGGTGTTAGCATGCAAATAGTTGCTAATTAGGGCTAAACACTAAGCACAGCTGGGGCTGGGACTAAGTATTTAGTCATAAACCAAAGTATTGGACACATTGAAATTTTGCCCAGAAGATGGTGCTTTATGAGTAATTCACAGATATTTTTTTTATTATAATCAACTGAAAATAAGAAATTTTGTGTTTTGATTATCTTAGAATGAGCTGTTTATCTAGAGGGAGCAGGTCCTCTTCCACTGGCTCTACATAGGCCTTTTTGCAAATTTCACCAGTTTGGTGGCTGCCGTAGCTTCTCCGACACTCTTGGAAGAGGAGTGGTTATTTGGTTGGTTGCAACTTCACTTAGATGTCACTAAATTCTACACACTGGACCTTTAAGGTATCACCAAAATTATTACTGACCCTGAGAAGGACATATGTGAATGTCATTCCCTTAAACAAAGGGAATAGTAAAGGATAGGAAGAGGAAACCACACACGCAGCTCTTGCCTTCACTCGTCTGTACTGAATCACATGAAACAATGCAAAACCCATACATATGTTCACATATGCACACTCACTTTCAGGACCACAGTTACCATGAGTATTTTTTTAGCATGTTCTAAATGATCTAAATTATTGTTTAAACTAAATAACCACATGACATTTAAATGATGAAATGTATTTTTGACTTTATTAACTTGCTATGACATGAACTACACTCCTACCATGATAAATATGGACTTGAACCTTACAACACAAATATATGGATATAACAGTAACAAGCTTAAACACCAATGTAAACACTGGTGGGGCCATGAGGTATTAACTTACAGTTACTTAAAGTACTATCAACATGTGTTTACAGTGCTTTGTGGGCGGTTATTATCTAATCCTCTGCAGCTCTTGTCTTCAATCATCAGTACTGAATGAGGAAGAGGAGCACGATCCCCCCACTGGGGCCCCAGGGCTTACCAACAGACTGAACAATTAAACCACACATACAGGGATCTGCATCACCTTTTGCATTCCTTTTCTTGGTAGTACTCACTGGCTGCATAATCTCAACAGTGATCAACTTGATATACAGTTACAACTACTATAAATAAAACAATATGTCTTGAAAATGGAATATAACTGTAATAATATCTAAATGAAATTAGCTTTTCAAATGAATTATTTTTTACCTAAAAAAAATTATAATTGTTTTTTTTTTTCTGTCACATACCTCTTGTCACATGCCACTCTTTACAAATTTCAAGCCCATGGTGGTGCTAGAGGAAAAGTCAGGGGGTCACCAAAGTGAGGGATTCATCCTCTAGGCACCATGAATGCCTGTACAAAATGTTTTGCCAACCCATAATAAATGTTGACATATTTCACAAAATAAGTAAGAGCTTTGACCTGCTGGTGGTGCTGGAGGGGGAAAAAAGTATTGATTCTCTTGGAAATAATGTCTGAACAGACTTTTATGGCAATCTATCAAATAGTTATAAAATAGATATGATATGGTCTCGACCAAAGCTCAGGACTGACCAAGAAACCAGATATTCCCATCCCTAGAGCCATGCTGCTATCATGCCAAAAATTACTTGTGTGTATGCATAATGATGTTCATTTGCTCTGCATGTTTTACTGAACTACTTTTGTAAGACTGGAAGCACAACAAAAAGTCTCACATCCGTGCATCTGTATGGCTGTTGCCAGTAAAGCTGCTGCTGCACTTGCAAATACCCTTTCCTATTGTGGTGTTAGCTCTTAGTGTGGGTGGGAAGATGGTTGGAGTAGTAAGATTCTGCAGAGTTGTACTGTACATGTGCCAAATACATTAAGTTTATGGGGAATACTGTGTTAAACAAAGAGCAAGTCATTTGTGCATTTAAGATTAGCTCGTCACCTGATCTACCTGACACCATCATCACCGTAGCTTTCATTTTGCTTAGCTTTCACTTTCAACACTTATTTTATTTAAACTGATTTGTGGGATACCATGTTTCAGTAGTATCAAAGTCATATAATGCTTTGTAGGATTTTGTATTTTCTGTAACCAACTGAGTTACTGTAGTTTCAAAGATTTGACAGAGAAGCTGCTTCAAACATCATCATAACAAAAACTATATTTTGTGAGACTACAGCAAGTTTCCTGCATTTCCTCCTTCCAAAATGATGCACCTTTTGTATGGCAGTTGAAAATACAAACAAATCAAAGACTTTTAGGCCTGATGAGTTAGAAAAATGTGGTTATGCTAGTTAGAGTTAGTCATGCTTCATTCAGCCTCATCAATTGGTAGAAATGTACTGGAAATAGAATGACTCAGTGTTCTTCTGTTTGGGGTTTGCACAGGTAGCCTTTAACGATGGACACAGAAGAACAGGATGAAGAGAAACAGCAGGACATTATCCCTTTCCTAGACCACATCTCCAACCTCATCAGGTCTATCATCCCTGACAGCCACATCCTCTGAGCCTTTGTCGCTGGCTTAATCCTCTGGTACTCCCAGCAGGAGAAAAAGAAACTGTGACGCAACTGATGAGATCATTTTATAACAACTCTGGGATTTAAAGGAGAACACTGTAAACATAACAAACATGCATCATTTTTCAATTATGTATGCATCTAAAAAAAAAAGACACTTAATGATTGTTTACTCCTCTGCAATGTCCCTCATGAGGTAACACGTAAGTCAAATCATTATAGGCAGCAGTGCTTTTTTTCAGGATGTTCATTAGAAATTGGCAGACATCTTTATTGGTTTGGTAACATAACAGCCCCAGGCTGGGTAATGCAACAACCGTACAGAACTATTATCAGCCCATTCCTCCCCTCCCCTCACCCCTTCCTCCCTCCCCTCACCCCCCATGTCCCACACACCTCCATTCCTTCCACCCCTTCAGGTACAACCACTAATTTCTTCAGAAAATATACCTATTCAAAGAAAAGAGAATTAATAACAACAGTACAAAATATGAAAGCTCTAGAAATGTTAGAAAATAACCCTATTTACATTTTCCAGGGTTTCGCCTCAGTTAAATTATCTTTTAATTTTTTAAAAGAACTGACTGGAGGAGGGACTGCAGCAGTGCAACATTGGGCTCAAAGGGAGCTCCCAAATTAACTTTCACAAAAAATCCACACGCTCTCTTTCTATTACCACTATTTGTCTCCAGCACTAAATTGTTTTAAGGGCTAAGCTCTTCTGCTGGCCAACCTCAAAACCAATCTTCACCTCAGCTGAACTGAACAGAGCCGAACAACATCATTCACAATAACAAACTAATTGTTACATGTGTCTGTATGTGTACCTGCTGGAGGTGTGCAGCTATCCCCCAGGTGACAGTGATGCTGTATCTTCCAGATATAGCGGGTTCCATTTTCTATATCCCTGATCTTACATGGCTCCTCGAGACCCTCTGTGTCCTAATTCTTTTAGGGCAACTAAGGACAGTACATATTAATAAACATATATTTGAAACATGAACTGGTTCAGGGGCTGCTGTCTCCTCTGCCAAAAACAAAGCCAGTATAAACAGCTGGTAAGTTGCTGATAGTGAAATGGAATATCCTTCTTTACTAGATTTGATCTATCTAGTGCTGATTCAGTACTATACTATGCAGCCCATATTCTATAATATTTAGATATATGGCCCTTCCCATCTAAAGTTAAAAGTGTTATTTCCTCAAGTTTTAATAATGGTGATAGACCTATCTGTTCATATTTTAATGATATGTAGCTTTTTACATGCAAACAATTAAAGTATTGAGCATAGCGTTAGTTCAGGCAGGGCACGAAGTCAGGCTTAGCTTTCAGTTACAGCTATATCATACGATCACAGCTAGTCATAAACATACATCAGCTGATTCCTCTAAGCTTCCCATTGGATACCATGCACAGTCAGCTGACAGCTCACCTGATTTCCTCAAGCATCCAATTGGCTAACACCTACATGGCGCCTTATTTAAGCTGTATTAGCCTGCCTGCCTATCTCTGCTGCTCCTCTACAAGCCTTTTTGCCAGGATGTTGTGTGCGTTACTTGTGGTTTGTCGGTTGTTTCTACTTGTCCTGTCTGCGGCGAGTATGATGGCGGGTCGATTGCATTGTGAAGTCTCAGCAGAGATCTCGGCTGTTGGGGAGAGTGTCGCTTTGAACAACAGTTGTGTCCGGCTGCTCTGGTTCTGGAGGGTCCGCAGAAGGGGGGAGGAATTGCTCCTGCGGCTCCGCTGCGGTCCCGGCTCCGGCTCCGGCTCCGGCTCCGGCGCTGCGCTGCGCTGCCTTTCAGGGGAGCGCGGGTCCGAGGCGCAGCGGCCGGCTCCACCTGTCTTGCTTGTCAGCTCTGTCCAACATCCGGTTGTCGCTTGCCGTCATGGGTTCAAGGGTCCAGGGTTCGGTTTGGCACGTCAGGCCGGCCAGTCTTCCTCCGCAATTGTTTCCCTCTTCGCTGTCTGCAGGTAGAGCGCGTGGTCCCACAGGTGCAGCGCTTGACGATGACGTCACAGCAGCTTGTTTGACGGCGTCACATTCCCGCCGAGAATGCTGGGAAGTGCAGTCCCAATCACCATAGGGAAGAACGTGCTGCCTCTCAAAAAAGGGGGCATGAGAGATAAACCTTCAACCCCAGTAAACGTCCCTGAGCTGGGGAAGGCGCTAAGAAAGCATTCTGTTATAGGGCTGGTTCATGGTTCTTAGCTGGGCTGACTTGGTTGCCAAAACCTACAATCTGCTTTGAAAGAGCTGAGATAGTCGAGGCTTTACTGAAGAAGGATAACAAAAAGGTTCATATTGGTCCATTCATAAATCGCCTTCTCAACAAGCATTAAGGTATAGCTACCAGGGATATTCAGGGGGAAAAAAAAAAACATTAATTGATCTGCTCTTGCAAAGGCAAAACTAAGGCATAAATAGTTTAACCCCTTCAGACCCTGTGTCCATTACAATGGACGTCACTTGACAGGGGCTTCTTTTTTACTTTTTGCAACATTTAACAGACAAAAATAGGTATGATGTTGTCATATGATGTTGGTATTTTAAGAATTGTTGGACCCGATGTCCATTGAAATGGACAAGAAAAATAACAATTAAAGGGTTTTGATTAAAAAAAAAATAATAATAATAATTTTTATTTTTATTGATTCTCATTTCTGGTTGCATAAAGGATGGGGGAAAAAAGTCATTATTATATTTTTCACACTTGGAACATAAGGCGGGTCTGAAGGGGCTACATCCTCTGGCACTTTTTCCTTATTTTATGCTATAATCTACAATGCCATCAGTTGATTAAGGAAGCATGTAGAGGCGCATGGCTAGCCAAGGCAGATGTCACAGATGCATTTAAGTCATGCATTACACCTTCACATTGGCATCTGTTTGGTTTAAATGAAGAGAAATGTACTTCTCAGTTAGGCTCACCTTTGGTTGTTACAGCAGCCCCACATATTTGACACTGTCAGAGGCTCTCTGCTGGATTCTTTTAAATAACTGCAACTGCTTTCGTGCTCCATCTCGTAGACGATTTTCTGTTAGTTGACTATCAATTCAAAATCAGACCATGCATTTTTGCTCTTAAATATACCTTTAAACATTAGGTCTTCTGCTAGCCAAGGAGAAACATCAGGCCTGTAAGGCTAGAGTCTAGGCTTCACTCTAGATAGTGTACTGATGAAAAATTGCATCAAAGAGGTAATGAAAGCAGCAGGCAGTAGTAATTTCAAAAGAGAACTGCTCTCCTTGCTTAGACATCTTAAGTTGGCATGTGTGTTATTCCCCAGGGAAGTTCCCCTATATCCAGGCTTCTGGACCTCTCCGATTTATAGAGAACTCCATGATATGGTGAGCTTGGAGAAGGGCTGCAGATCCGAGCCCCAGTCCTGATCTCTTCTGTGTGATAATGGTATGGCATCTCCTTCTTTTACAATGAGCAGCTAAAATCATCATTTGCCATTAATTATAAAAGACGCAGCATATTGAGTACATATAAATGAATCGAACACTGTGTGCCAGTTCACCCTGGAAGCTTTATGTCAACAGCAAGGTCTAATAGTGTGACTGCTATGATCTACTAGATCACTAATGAACAGCTTTGCTGAGCTTAGAAGACAGAGAGCAGACATGAGGGGCATTTAGGGAAGAGCAATGGATCCTCAAGTTTTTCGGTGTTGGGTACAGAAATAATGGAGATATAATTCATTCAAACATACAGTAGTAGTGGCATGATTGACCTGTATGATAACCACCCTTCCGTAGGTTTTGGGGGGGTATTTTAATAATCAGTGGTTCACAGACATATGGCTTAAATCCTGTCATCCTTGCCAGCTAATGCTTCTTCTACCTTTTTTAATGAATGTACAATTGTTTCATGTTTCTGTGGGGAAGAGACTGGTCATGGGAACATGTCATGTTTTTTCGACAATGAGGCAACTGCCAACATCATTTACAAGGGCGTTCTTCAGTTCCATTCATTAATAGATTTGTAAGACGCCTCACTTGGTTATCTATGTTGGGTAAATTCATTATTAGAGCAGCTCATATTCCAGGCTTGGATAACAATTGCTGATTTTTGTCCCGTTTGAATCGCAGAATTTCGCCAGCTGTGCCCGGAGGCAGCGCCATCCAGCCTGACTTGCCCCCCATTTTCTCAAACCGTGTTAGAGTAAACACAACCATGCAATATACAGGCTATCTACTGCTCAGTATATGCGATCTGGCTTAGCTAATCTACATTAAAATAACTCATTCAATTCGCATAAATGCAGCATCCGTAGCTCCTGTCTCGACGCTAAGGCTATGGGTAAATGCTCATTATCTGCTTACGAACGATACCTCCTGCCTGAGGCCAAGCAAATCTTGATGCTCAAAAGCAATGAGTGCCTTGTAATTTCCGGCTTAAATTCATTAATGTATAGCAAATTTCTGGGGATATCTCTAGTATACTTAGCCTTGTACTTCAACTAGTGTCTGCTTAGACGTATTGGTTTATAGTCCTGCTGGCTCCTCTTACTGGCACTTCCATGTAGCTCATGGAAGGGAGGTTGCCTGGTGTGGTTCTTTGGGGGTCTCTGCTGCCGCTCTCCTTGTCTTAAACCTTTCCATGTATGCACATGGAAGGTTTCCACGTAGGCACGTGGAAGGACAAGGAGGTCCCATACAGAGCCACACCACCAAATATAACCCTCTGTTCGGGAAATATGTTTTTGCTGGTTTAATTTAAATACACTCTAGCATAACTTCTGAGGGATCTCTTTATTAATCCTCAGCCAAGTTACTTAACTAGTATCTGCATAAATTATTGGCTTTATTACTGTTATTTATTTCTTACAAAAATTTGCGCTGCTGGCTCCTCTTACCGGCACTTCCATGTAGCTCATGGAAGGGAGGTTGCCTGGTATGGTTCTTTGGGGGTCTCTGCTGCCGCTCTCCTTGTCTTAAACTTTTCCATGTATGCACATGGAAGGGCAGGGAGGTGTGCTCTCCCTGCCTTAAGGTTTTCCACGTAGGCACGCGGAAGGACAAGGAGGTCCCAGAACAGAGCCATACCGCCAAATGTAATTCTGCTTGGAATATAAGATTTTGACGAAAGTGGTCCTGACTGAAATAGGGATCTGACATAACTGATCAAATAAAAGCATATGATTGGGCAGTCATAAAGTACCATCTAAGATTTGGAAATTAAAGCTTAATTAATAATCTCATCAAATTGGGAAAACAATTTTTAAAGTATGTCAGGAACAATATGATATCATCCACATATAAAGAAATGCGATGGACTGATCCCCCAGTTCTAATGCCTGATAATCCTGTACGTTTTCTTACGGCCATGGCTAGAGGCTGAAATTGCTAAAGTAAATAGAATGTCTGGTGGATCTCTGTAGACTAAAGGGTGTCGAGATGGTATTATTAGTTAGGATCTCAACAGTTTGTGTATATTAGTTGAATCCATTTGATAAATGTTTTTCCTAGCCCTTTCCTAAATCTTGGGAGTAATTTGAAAAGGTAACCTGTCGAATGCTTAACATGCATCTACTGATAGCATCGCTGCATCTTTTGCATTATAAAGTAAAATAAAGATTTATCTAATATTGTGACGTTCTTGTCATTTTTGGTAATGATCAATGAATAATTAGCTGACAGGTATTTATCTAATCTTTTGGAAATGTTTATGTCACATCCCATTAAACTAATTGGTCTGTAAGGCAAGGATTCAGTTCTTAATGTTGTGTTAGATAAAGATCTCATCTCATCTCATCTAATGGTTATGGAGATGATAGTGAGAAGGTTGAGGAAATGACTTCCTGAGGATAGCAGGCTGGCTGGCAGGCACAAAGGCAGACACGAAGGCAGGCAGGCAGACAGGCAGACAGGTGAGGTGTAACTCTCATTGAAGACTCAACGATCTGGAGTAGATGAGTTGATTGAAGGCAGGTGAGCAGACTGGGAGAGTTGATGAGTTGATTGCAGGTGTGTGGAACAGAAGGCAGGAGGGAAAAACACACCCACGACACACAGACAGGAGACACAAGGGAGGGGGAAACACAAGAAAAACACCCTGGAGACTAAGGCTCATAAGTCAGAATGCTGTTCATCGACTTCAGCTCAGCATTCAACACAATCATCCCCCAGCAGCTCATCCACAAAGTGGACCAGCTGGGGCTCAACACCTCCCTGTGCAACTGGCTGTTGGACTTCCTGACGGGGAAACCACAGGCAGTTCGGGTCGGCAGCAACACCTCCAGCAACATCACACTGAACACAGGGGCCCCCCAAGGATGTGTGCTGAGCCCCCCCTCTTCATTCTGCTGACCCACGACTGCACACCATCATTCAGCTCCAACCTCTTCATTAAGTTTGCGGACGACACAACTGTGGTGGGTCCCATCAACAACGGTGATGAGACATATTACAGGAGTGAGGTGAGCAGGCTGGCCACGTGGTGCAAGGACAACAATCTCCACCCAGCACCAAGTTCCTGGGTGTGCACATCTGATGATTTGTGGTACGGCGCCTGCACCGTGTCCTGCCGCAAAACTCTGCAGCGCATCGTGAGAGCAGCTGAGAGGATCATTGGTGTCTCTCTCCGCCCCCCCCTTCTGGACATTTACAACACCCGCCTCACCGGCAAAGCCATCAGGATTGCAGGTGACCCCACCCACCCATCTCACAGCCTCTTCAGCCTGCTGCCGTCAGGGAGAAGACTGCAGAGTCTCCGGGCCAAAACCAGCAGGCTCAAAGACAGTTTCTTTCACCAGGCGGTCAGGAGACTCAACTCCCCCTGCCACAGACTAGATAGATAGTGTTGTTAATAATAATAATAATAATAATAATAATAATAATAATAATAATATGATGACTGAACAGATATACATGTATATGTAAGCCGTGCTAGGGGTGGATAAATTAAAACACGGGGGCCGACAACGCCACCTAGGTTTAGCTGAGGCCTTAGTGTCCTTTTTATCTAAAAACAGTCACTCAACTCTCTGGTCCCAGGTGTAAGTCCTTAAGCCTGATTAAGGTACATCTCCGTGGCGGAAGTAAAACCAACGTAACAAACACACCACACTTCAAAATAAAAGCATGCAATAATAAATAAGGCAAGAACACAGCAACCAATAAAAACACAGCAAATTCAAAGTAAAAGCATGCTTAAATAAAATCAAACTTCCACCCCGTGACATATACACATAGATATTATACATTAATATTGATATAATCTGAACATGTGTCATATATTCAGCCTGTGCAAGGTGTGCTTACATACATACTGTAATATATATATATATATACACACACAAGATATGATATATATATATATATATATATATATATATAATGTATAATAGATACTTGACTATACAAGAAGATATACATACAATAGATAATATCTTATATATTGTTATATAATAATAATAATAATAATAATAATAATAATAGTAATATATAACATATAATATAACTAATAGTAATAACAATATAATATTAATATAATAATATATTGTATAAATATCATATGGTTTATATTAACACATATCAGATATGATAGGCTATATGATGAAGTATATGTTCTTTACAAGGACCGCCCCCCCCAGAAGAAATTACAAGAATAAAGTCATAATACTACGAGGATAAAGTTGTAACATTATGAGAACTGTCAACGTCGAACTTATCAATACGTTAGTTATCAGTACGGTAGGACTGAGACAAACAGCGGCTGCTGGGGTCAGGCTGAGGCTGGTCACGTCAGATCTTGATAACTCTATCGAAGCTTTTTTCTCATTAAAACGACTTTTTTTCTTGAATTATTATAACATTATTCTCGTAACATTACGACTTTATTCTCGTAATTCCCCCCCCAAAACTTTTTTTTTTTCTTAGTCTGGCCCTAATACTCTGTCGTACAAGTGCCCTTGATTGTTGATTGTTGATTGTTTATTTGATGTCTTTTCTATTTATTTAGTATACCGTATTGCCTGTTTGCACCGTGGGTCCGAGAGGACTGAAATTTTATCTGTGCTGCATGTCGTGCATGTATAGCATATTTGACAAATAGAGCTGACTTTGACTTTGACTTGGAAGGATACAGCCATGGCCATGCCACTTAATGAATCTGGAGGCATTTCTTTAATAAACGATTCTTCATACATGTAAAGAAATTACATTACAAGTTGTCTTTTAAATGTTTTGTAAAACTCTATTGGTAACCCCATCAGTGAATCCCCTATAGCTTCACAAAGTTCTTTTGTAATTATCTAGTACGATTTTTTTTCATCATCTGATATAGTCAGAAATTTCAACTAGTCAAGAAATGTAGTCTGAGCTTTTAGTTATTATTTATCAATAATGGGTCCATAAGTTTCTTACTTTTTCACCTTGGTCATAGTATGTTTTAGCCACTTAGTTGTCAGTTGTTTATCATAATTAACTCTCATGATAGATTATGTAATTTAAAGAGTCTCTGCTTTTTAATTTGTGTTAGTTTTCTTATATTCATAATTCTTGCTTGTGCTATTTGGTTTTAGAACTTGTTTAAAAATTAATTATTAATGTCCACAGATACTGTTGCATGTTTCCACTAATTACTACTAAGCATTTTTTGACTTAATTAGTTCCATAGAAATCAAAAAGTAGTCAATGCGTAAAGGAGTTTTATATGAGCTTGAATAAAAATAATATTTCATTTTGTTTCAGTTCTGCTTTCGCCAAACTTTAGTCTGTTTCAATTTGGAGCTCTATCCAACAGTGGGTCAAGGGCACAGTAAAAATCTCTTCCAATAATATCAAGTCCCAAGGCAGACACAATGAGAAATAACTTTTTAAAACACAATGTGTTGTCTTTGTAAGAGCCAGTAAGAGCCATACATATTAAATAAATAAATATTTTACCTTGAATAAAATATCTTCCAGATGAATAGATAGATTAGATAGTTTTTTTGATTTGAAATACTGTATGTAGGATTTACATAGACATGCATATAATTTTCAATTTCTGACAAAAAATGTTACACACTGGACCTTTAACTCAACAACAAACGCTTCCTTCTATTACTGTATATCCTGATGGTCAGCAGTTGCCTTGGCTGATCAGCTGTATCCCCAAGTGGAGTCCCAAGTTTCTTGTGTCTGTGAAAACAACTCTCAGCAGCGCATCATTTTGTATGTATGATTCACACACCAGTGGAGACTACTTTGGCTGTGGGATGCTTTTGTAAAACCTTTCTGGTTCCTGTGGCACTGAGAAAAGATGGATCTTTCTGTTGTGTAGCACTCTAAGTTTGCAGAGGTTGTGTTGGAATCAACAGAAGGCATGTTAATATTGCTCAACTTTGTCCTGACGTCTGCTCGGAGTGAATTTTAGCTTACTTAGAACTACAGCTACTATAACTGTGTGGCTAGCTTCTTGTGCTTTTTTTTCTCGATAGAATAAGTGTTGTTTTAGTGCCAGTCTTGCATCCTCTGTTAAAATATTACACTGCTTGGTTGCAGTTGGTTCAATAAAAGGTATTAACTGAGCACCCATAGTCATAAATAATTCCTTTTTTATTTATTGTATTGAAAAATAAAATAATATACCATCATGTACAGACAATTCTGGCAGAAACTGTTGTTTTACAGTGAAAGCATACTTGTTACATCCTTATGAAAGCAACAGGTCAAATGTCATTTATAATAAGCTTATTTATTCTCTCTCTCTCTCTCTCTTTCACACACACACCCACAAAGTTCTACCTGTGTGTATCCACAAATATATACATCAATTTGTTTTGTTTTTTAATAAAATGTAGAAAAATTGCATATAAAAACATCTTCAAACCACATTTCACAAAAATTGTGTTAACAATCAACAGCAGTGCTCAGTTTGGCAGAGTAAACATTGTGTATATTATGTGGCCATTAGTGGATTGAGCCATGCAAAGAAAACCAGAAACAACCTTTTTAATTTAATTTAAACTGTATTCAGAAAAACAAAATACAAGTCAATTTATCAGTGATTATTTGCTACTTCTGAATGTGCTTTGACTTGGTGTTTTACGCTGGATGTAGGAAAATGTACTGAAAAGATGGAAATGGTCAGCTTTGTAAAAGTGTGTATTTTTTTTCTCATTCAGATTCATAGATTTTATATATTTAAAGAAGGTGAAGAAATTATTCCACAATTTGAATTATTTTTAATCCTCTCTGGGCGCTCTAGACAGTATACTAAGAGTACTGATTTTTCATGCATTAATTCACACAATTTCAGTATGAACAACATAGAGCGTCAATATGAATACATACATTAATTTAGCTTAATACAAAGCCACAGCTGTCATCCTGTCCCTGCAATTCATGGGCACTCGGCTTTTAAGAGCACAAATCTCTGGCTACAGTGTGTTATTTTAACAACTATGTGATTGTAGTAATTTCAGCCTTTTTCTGAATTCATTTTTACGGTTCATTGTACGGTTACATTAAAGGGAGAAACACAAGTATCTCACTTTGTGATTTAATAATGTATTGAGTGTTGAGTTTTGATTTGAACATCTGCTGTTTGGCTTCTTCAACTTTCCATGCGCCCTCTCAAAGAACAAGTTTTATTTCATAACAGCACTTCAGAACACTAATGAATAAGACATTCAACTATTATTGCTTAGACACTTAGAAAAGGGCTCAAAATAAAAATAAATTAGAGCTCACTGAAAGTAATAATGTAATGTGTGTTCTTTTAAGGGTTGTGTGAGAGTCAACACACTCAGTACATTGTCTTAGTAGTTGAATCAACACACACCCCACATATTTTTACTAATTTGTTGCAGAAATAAAAAATATTCTGAAAAAATCACGCTGAAAAGAAAAAGGCTTTTTCCAACAAAGTGTTCCATTAATCAAAGCTATGACTAATGCCTCCAGCAAAATTAATTCCTTGTCAGCATGGCCTTTTTGGTTTGAGGATAACAATAGAAACATTAGACATCTATCTGCAAGACCGTTAAATGATGATGCTATCTGTGAGTAACGTTTTGGGGAAATCTCAGGCACCCTTTTAAGAAAATGTATGAATGTTGTTTAAGAGTTTTGTACAATATAGGTGTTGAGAATTAAACTAGAGGCAAAAGGAATCTAAAGATTTACTATTAGAATTTTTAAAAAAAATATTTTTTTTTTCTTTCATGGCTGCCCATTACATTCTGGAAAATTTAGTCATTGAGTTTCCCTGATTTGGCTAGTAAAATCTAACATAAAACGCAAACAGTACAACTAGTTGAAGCAGTTGGAGAGTTATTTAGTAGGGAAAGTAGACATCTCCTAACACATAAAATAATGGCTGCACTATGTGATACCTAACCTTCCCCTCTGAAATAAAGAATTTCACGCGTCACAGACTCGAAAGCAGAGCGCTCTTTAGTATCGTCGTTCATAAGAAACAGAAGCTTTTATCCTTGGCATAAACATGATAAATTGTTAATTCAAGTGTTCAACGTGTTAATAAAACGCAATGAGCTACAAACTGATGATCTGCATAGAAAACTGGCTTCCATTTGCTTCAACTCTTTGATTTTCATAGGTATCCTTCCCGATAAAAACAACATGCTTGTTAACTTTAAAGTGTAACAGTGATATTCTTTGAACTGGGATTTAATGTAAGATCGACGTGAGGCATCATGAAAAGCCTTGAATAATATACACTATTTGCAGCAAATTTTTAACTCTGGTTTTGTTTGTGCAGAGTCTCTCAATCTAGGTGACTTTGTGGGGTTACTTGTTCTCATTAAGACTGAGTCAAAAGAGAATTCTGAAGGCTGCTGTTACACTTTTGAAAAAACTGTAATTGAAGGCATATCATACTCACATTCAAATGTGAATACTGTCAATACGTGATCGGACATAGTTTAGCTGATGTGAATAAACTACCTCTTTCTAATGTTTTAATACATTTTTTTTTTTAATTTATGCAGTCAACTGACTGCATGTATATAAACAAAAGATTATCTAAGATGTGATGATTATGCTATGTCTTTTACATTCTACAAGTGGATAACTGGTCCACTGGACTGAATACTCCATCCCAATATATTGACTGTTCAGTTATAGCACAGCAATTTTGGAGGCTGCTTATTAAATATATATAATATAATATCTCAATTATGTGGCTGAGGACATCTGTGCCAGGAAAATGAAATTAACAATCTGCTTTCCTCCACCAGTTTTGTAAGTGACTTTAGAGTGTAGTTTTACTGTGTATTTCATAACAGTAAACAACTAACCATTTAAATTGGAAGCAAGTTCATACTGGAAAAAAAACATGGTCCAATTCAGCAAAAATAACACAGATTACATGAAATTAAATTAAATATGCTTGCATGTTCCCAAAAATAAATTTTGCAGAGAGCATTAATTAATCTCTCAGGACATGAACATTATCATAGTTTATTATAATACTCTACCCTGTGAAAAGTGCACAGCAAAACCTTCATTATGCCGGATTCACAAAGGGAACTGCAAGAACTTGAGAGAGAGACCTGCAAATACTAAATGCAGAGCACTCATTAGTTTTCACGAGGAGGCTAAGGGGAGCTTTTTCTTTTTTGAAATAGAAACTCATTGTCCATGCCAAAATGAAAAACTGTCCAATCACAGACTGGGAGGTGGGACCATGGGTGGAGCTTAGTCTTGTCTTTAACGTTAAAAATTGTTTTCTGTGGGCCATCCAGCTGGAGGGACACTACTATTGACTGAACAAATAGTTACATTTGTGACTGAATGCATTTTTAAGGGATGTATTGTGCTGCAAGAAGGTGTACAAACAGACACACTAGTTGACAGCTAGGTATAGTGTAAAGTAAACACAGTAAATGCTTACATAAAAAGGAAAAATAAAAATGTGTCTTCTATTTCTCATTTTTAAATTTGTTTTAATCTGGGCTTCGACTGTTTAAAGAAGGAATTAATAAAGGTAAAACTCCAAACACTGACCAACTTTCCCCCTTTTTGGCATTTTGTGGAGTATTATTTTTATTTCTCTTTTTCTGAACACTGGTCAAATTTGGTCAATGTTAGGCTATGAACTAACAGGTGAAAATTCACAAAAATCAATTACCAAGGAGTAATTTCCTAGAGTTGCCCCTTTGATGGCACATTAAAAAAATGTGGATCAAAAATCATGTAAGAGGGAACATTTTTCTAGCAACCACAGCTTCAGTAGAACAGCATGAGATGCAGGAGAAAAACTCCCACTCTTTTTTGGTGCTAATTCCGGTCACAACCTTCCTATAACACAGCTAACCTTATTAACTGTGTGATGGTTGATACCTTCTGGAAATCACAGGGAATCATAAACGAAGAAACAATTAAATAAGGTGATTACACCAAATAGTAGAAGAAAAAAATACGGAATGCATTCAGTATGATTAAGAGATGTTATATAAAAGGTGTAAAACATTATCCATCTGCATTAATATAACACTTCACAGCAGACAAAAGTATTTTCTAAATTCACTTCCGTCACAGGGAGGTTAATCAGGCTCAGCTATAAAGTGAAAGCGCTACTGGTCCTAGTAGGGAAACTTTGCCAAACAATGATTAAGAGACCAAGGTCAGTGAGTCTACAGAATACCAATCCCAGTGAGTTATTACAGTTAGAGGTCATGGTACTTCCAATGCAGGTTAAACTCGGGATAAACAACAACTGCAGTGTAGGTCACATAGGGATAATTCAATGCTTCATAAAAAAAAAGGCCATTCTGAACTTTAAATAAACATTAAACAAGGGATTAAAGATGGATAATTGATGTTAATCAGAAACTGCAGCTTAAAGGACCAACATTAATCAAGTGAACACATTACAGTCCTATAAATGAACACAATCAGTGTGCCTTGATTGTAAGCACACAACCATAAGAATTCAAAATGGAATGATGAATTCCAACACTCAAACCACAGTAATAAGACACAAATGTGGATAGTATGCTTGTATGTGCATGTGTTTGTGTAAGCGATTCCATGCTTCCAGTGCTAAACAGACAAACTCATTGGTCTAAACTGCATATTCATTGCTCAGGCACTTGTTTTAAGTTATAAAAAACAGAATAAAAATGGACTCCCTCTAACGTTTGATGGACATTTAATTCTGCTCCTTATATCCCAGCATTTAAGGACCTTCATCTGCTTCATGTCTCTCAACTCCATGGTGCAAACCATTTCAGCCAGTTCAATTTCAGGGAACAAAAAGGCATACCACTGTGAACTGAGCTCTATTGCTTTGATGTCAGAGATTGGACGTCATTCACTGTATGACAGATAAAAGGCTTTGTGTATGTGTGAATGTGATAAATATCTCTGGGTCAGAAGCTGGACTCAGGGACTGTCCTTTTGCGTCCCAGTGAGGTTGTGCTGTAACGAGTCCTCTGCAGGGTGCCATAAGAGGGTTTGTCTGAAGTCAGGCTACGTGATGGTGCTGGGGCTGTAGACATCCCATTACGATGCAAAGATGCTGTCCTGCGCATGCTATGCTCCGCTTTGGTGGGGATGTTGGAGGAGCTCTGGGAGCGTTTGATGTCAGCCGTGGTTCGTCCCACCTTCCCATTTGCCAGCTCATCACGATGGCCTGATCCATTAGACTTGCCTCCTTCCACCCCAGTTCCTCCTCCTGCTGTTCCGTTGGACAGTGACAGCCTAGAGATGGTCCTTCTCCCTCCTTCCTCACCTCCTCCTTTCTGTGGCTCACCCTCCTTAGACTTCCTCGAGTCCTTATCCTTCTTCAGGAAGTTACCTTTGAAGAAGGAGAGTAGTCCCTCATGGCTCTTGGGCACGTCCCCTTTCTTGGTCTTAGAGTTTCCTTCATATGTACCGTGGTGTTCCCTATCAGCCCTGTCCCCCTTTTGTCTTCTCAGAGTACCATCATGAAGGCTGGGAGTACTGTAGCTGGGCTGAACTCCAGCACTGGAACTCTTTTTTGTCTCAGTATCCTGGGGAGCTTTGGAGGAGCTCTGCCTCCTGGCATCCTTCTTCCTGGTGAGGGTGTTGCTGCTGGAGCTACTGCTGATATTTGTAATGCTCTCATCTCTTGTCTGGCTCCCCTTGCTGCGTCTCAAGCTGGCTGTCTTATCTGATGGCCTCCTCTGGCCCTCTGGGACTTGTGGATACTCGTCTCCTGCCTTACCAACACAACTTATGCTCCCAAGACTGGAAGATCGGAGATTGGTTGCAGCCTGGCCATCAGCAGCTTCCTTTGTGCTGCGTGGTTCGCTCATCAATGTTACTATTGAATCCTTTGTGCACCGGGGCCGCCGGCCAGATTCCAAGTACTGTACCAGCTCCACAGGGGCAGGATCTTGGACAGATGGAGGTACTGGGTCAGGTTTCCGTCTGTCCTTTGAACCAAAGGACCAGCGGAGGGGAAGCACTTTGCTCAGGGTGTCCTTGGTCTTGCTGGGGGCTCTCATGCTCACGCTGCGTCCCTGAAGACCCCTGATTAATGGCCTGCTCTCAAACCCCCCTAACAATTAAGAAGAGGAAAATGTTTTTGGTTTACATCCAAATTCACCTTTACACAGAATAAGCTACTCAACTGATTAGGGCAAATCCTGGCTGTGGCCGCTTACCTCTTTCCTCCTTAGTACAATTTTCAAGGAAGACTGGAGACTCAGGCGAGTCAGGTATGGAAGATGGGCAGGTGGTGGAAGATCGAGAGACTAGACTGCCTCTCTTACTGTCCCCTGTCAGCCGGATTAGCCAGTGGTCTGACATTGATGAACTTGTGGATCCTTTGTGACACACAGAGGGAAGAGAGAGTTCAGAGGAGGAATATAAACCATAAAAGACTATTTCACCAATTTTGCATTACACTTCCATAACATTGTTGGACTCATGATGGACATTAAAACCAAAAGCTTCCACTGGAGTCAGGCTTTATACAACTTTTGTCAAATGTCATATTTGTCTCTAAGAACTATGTCATGTGTAAAATGGATTCCTGTTTAAAGAAACAATCAAGGGAAAGACACACACAGTGAGATAGGAACTCCAGGTCCATTAGACCCGTGGCAGTGGGGAACAAAATTATTCAAATCCTTACTTAACTAAATATAGTCATACCACAATTTATACTATGGTCTGGGTGATTATTCAATTCTTAATGGCTGCTGGGTTTCCATTAAAACCTGATGTAGGACACCTACTAAGTAGTTCCAGTGAATTTAATGAAAACAAAATCTAATCAACACTGAGTCCTTCAGGACCTCATCCTGTGAACACCACAGGATGGCGACTATAACACACAAGTCCCTACACTGCCACTACGTATTAGGAAGGACCTCAGGTGTTACCAGGGAAACAGTATTATGACTTATAAAAAACCATTAGTTTTTAAATGAAAGCGCACTCAAATATAAAATAAAGGTTATGGTTAACATATAATGTAAAAACCATCAAAACTGTAACGGTAAGTACAGGACTTGAGTGAATATACTGGGGAAAATGTTTGTGTGTGCCAGTATCTCCTATATTGAGCGTACTAATGCTTGGTGTTCTGAGTCAGGTTAATTGACATTAAGTACGTGCCTGTACCAGTGTTGTGAGCAAACATGTTTCTCCCTGCAAAAAGCAGTGCTTTTGTTTTTGTTATTTGTGCCTCCTGGTGTCCCTTAAAAGCATCATCTCTGTCTATCTCTTCAATTAGGAGGGGGAGGAGGAAGCTTACACAGGGAAATGAAAGGAAGAGTAACACTAGTCTATGGTGCAAGTGTTGCACTGGACAGGAAAAAAACCCTTCACTGAAACACTGCACGGCCACTGTAACTGATCTTATGAAACTTTCAGTTCAGCAGGCTGCCATGGAAACAATATCACTAATTGCAATAAAAATATGTCTATGTAAGCATGGCAAAAGGTTTCATCCCGATGCATACATGACTGCCATGATGTACTTCACTTTTGCCTCTTTGCATAGACATAGTGGCAGTTAACATGTGATTCATTGGTCTTAGAAAAAAAAGAGGACAGCAGTTGTAAGACCATATGAAACTGTATGAAACCCATTTGGCTTGACAATAATGCATGTGATTGACAAAGAATCTAAATCTAAGGAATCTGCCCTGGATGTATTGCTTTTAGTGCACAATAAAACATGACTGAGTAGCTCTTTAAGATGATAAGTCACGTTGACAAGAAGCAAAATAAGGTTTAATGGTTGTTAAAAGAGCAGCTTTAAGGCTGGTAGGTTGGTATAGGTAGTCCTATAGAAAGTCAACAATGTTACTTAATGTTATGTAATAATGTAATACTTTAATATAAGGTACTGACTTACTATTGAGCAAATAATTCTATATTCTCCATACTTCTCTATCCCTACTAAACTTTCACAGCTCTATAAAGGGTCTTATATTTCCTCATTCCTGAGCGAGCAATTGGAGAAAAAAATACATTGCAAGCACATGAATTATATTTTAAAGAGAAATTATACGCAACAAAATAATAGTTAGCTTGAGCAGAAAAAAATCTATTCTGTACTCACTAAAAGTATTTGCATGTTTGCTGTTTTGCCATATTAATGTGACCCTTCTCACATATTCACATACTCATACGCCCTCTCTCAAACTCGATCGATGGCAGAGAGCTGCACATACTGTTATTTCTATCTACCTTTTTATCTAGTGGTTGAGTGCATTTTTTAATGCATTTATTGAGTTAAGGTTTATGCACAACACTTAGTACACAGTAACACAGTATGCTGATGGCCATACTGGAAGCTGCAGCTTTTTTTTGTCTTTGATGCTTATAAAGCCAAGACCCGGCTTCTTCATTATTTGATGATTGTGGCCTGCACACTTAATCCCATCTGGGTATGGAAGCACATTATGGATATTAAGCAGATAAAAGCATTAAAAAACATACACCATGTTTTTTTTCTTGCATATATGACTTTCTTGTTTCAGAACTGTGTGCTGAGTTGTGTTAAGCAGTTTCTACAGTGATTGTCAATAGGAATATACTATAATAAGGCTTTTTAGTATGAATCCAGCAGATGTAGAGCAGCATTTTGTAGTATCACAGCTACACTACAGCCTAGAGTCACGCAGTTTAATATATTTTTATACAATATTTTCTAGTGTCTCTCAGTTCTCCCCATTGTGCCTTCAAGCAGGTGTTTTACATTATTGGGACATGATTAATGTATGTGTCATTGGTTTGTTGTAAGCTGCTGTTTAAGTGCTTCTATTTAAATTATTTATGGAAGACCCTTTCTTTGTTTTTGTAGCCAGAATTCTTGTCCCTAATGACAAGGGAAAAGAGGTGGAAAAGAGCTCCATCCGCCTAAAGCAACTAATAGCTGCTACTTAATGTAACCAAGACCAGCCAAGTTTTGTTTTGGAGTAAATATCAGATCTGTGAGCAGCACTATGGTATGCTTTGTGTGTTATGTATTATGCATGGATTCAGAGAGTGAGTGTACAGTGAGAATACAGTGATTTTAAATGTAAGCCACAAGCCCCTTGCAACTCTGAACTTTCTTTAAGGCACGAAAGCCACTAGTATCATAGCAACTCAAAAGGGAGGAAAATCGTGAAAGAAGAAATTCTTCTTCAAAATGAGCCTCTATTAAGTAGATACTAATGTGGTTAACAACAGATTTCTGTATGTTCACTTCTCTCTGGTACGTCAACTACTGTCCCTATATTCTATAGAACCTGGCCAAGTAAAAACCTTAGCCTGCATTTATCTGAAACATGAATACAGTAATTCATTTGTAAAAAGAACATTTCATAATTACATGATGACTGTTAATAGGACATGAATGCTTTGAATAATGGAGAAGGCAGAGCAATGTTCATACTGTGCTCTGTTCAAGGTCTGTTTCAAGGTTTTTTGCTGAGTTACTCATAGGCCAGGTCTACAGAGAAAACAGTAAGTTAATGTTTTATTAATATAATTATTCCTATAGTACTATACAGTGTGTACTCATGGGTTCACCCCGTGGAGAAACAACGTTTATATTCTTACAATATTCTAATACTGAACAGTTACAGTTTTTTTGGGGAGGAAAAAAAAGTGGATTTCATGGTTGAGCAGGTTCAGCAAGAACATTTTCAATGAGTTTGTATGCCCTGATGTCCACACATAGTTAAAATGACTGGTGGATATTAAAAAGTTGAAAAGAATCTGTCAGCTCTCTCAAATGTAACTCTCAGATGGCCCAGTGAACGTATAAGACCTGTGTGTTTATGGTTGAGTAGTAGTGTAGGTAGTACTTTGCTTATGTTTAAAATGAACACATTAATTCAAAAACATTTTGTCGTACTAACAGGCACTTCCATGTGCTTTTTTATCCATTAAAACGGTTTTCCTGTTTGTTAGTCAGTTGATAGCATACCTCTGATGGAGGAACTGGCCGACCATGGAGGAATGGTGTTGCGTCTCTGGTAGAAAAGGATGTAAGCTCCTCGGGTACATACTTCTTCTTCTGGCACCAAGTCTACACTGCTGTCATCGTAGCTGTACCACTGTCCATCCACTGAGTTCCTACAGTAGGCTGGATTAGAAAATGACAGCAAGTATGAACAATGGCCGACTGAACGTACAGTATATACAAAGCTTTAAGGATAAGGCTGACGTTATTTATTATCAGTAAATCCTATGAAGAGACCTAAATTGTCAAAAAGAAGCTTCAATATGTAGTATCACATAAAAACAATGTATATATATTGTATGTATATATAACTCTCTAGTAACCACACACACTCATAGGAGAGGTTTCAGGTACCATAAAAGACAGAGGCAACCGTGCGAGAAAGCCGTCCTAGTGGCGACTGCTCCATCCTCCACATCTCCTGCTGTCTCCTATTCTCCTACTCATTTGCCTCAGTGCTGTATGTCTTCACCGACCATCCCTAGCAATTACAGACCTGGTCTTGCCTCATCTGTGTCAAGTTTCCTATCCTGCTAGCCATCTGAACCCTTCACTTATATACTTGCTGGTGTCTCCAAAAAGTTGAAGGAATGCCATACTACACTAGAAATGGAAATAATAAATAATTATTAAAATCAATTTGAATCCAGACATAGACACAATTTTGGTCCATGCATAGTTTGATCTATAGATAGTTTAAACATGTATATGTTTTCTTCTTTTATCAGTTATTCTGTCTCACATAGAAACATTAGTTCATTTCAGCTTACTTTATTTTATTAGTCCTTCAGCCCCCTGATATATTTTTTCATTGTATTGTTGGCTGATTGTAATTCTGTATGGCTGTTCCTTAAACTTTATATAAGGGTGAGCAAAGGGTAGACCTCATTAACCAAGTATGTCCCAGTGTGGTCTGAAAATCTTCCACACATTGACAGTCTTGCCGGCTGATTGGGCATTGTTGGCAATTACTGGAAATACATCAAACAAGTGGAAGCCTACTTGACCACTTGCAATTACTGCCTGCGTGAGTAATAGATTTGTGTTACTGAGCCAACATCTCAAGGGCATTAGAGACTCAAATTGTGGCCAAAGAGTTGTGTCCAAACAGACACTTAAACTTTTCAAGTCTTTTATCCAAGCTTAAAATACTACTATTTACACCAGTTTACTCCTGGGAGTGCAACGGGCAGTGGGACAGAACGACACTTTTTGTTTTTCAGTTCTCGTGTTTGGATAAAAGAATGGATATTGTGTTTTTCAGTGTTAATCATTGACAGGCTTTTCTTCCTCTAGCAGGATTATTACTTGGTCTGTAGGGAGAAAGTAGAAAAAGAAATATCTGTCAATCAAGAGTGTGTTTTAACACCTTATTAAGTTTCAGCACTGACTATAAATATCAAAGGTTACCAAATAATACAGACAGGATTATGACTAGTATGTTTTCTGCAACTGAACAACACTGGCTACCAGAATGAGACACTGAGATCTTTGCATAATGACTGAACAATGTGACTAAATTACTGAATGGACAAGAAAGGGATTTGTTCAAATACTGCAACACTGTTGCACTACTTGTGATGACAAGGCTGTTCACCATTCTTGTGATTTTAAGATTTGATTGAAGACCCAACAAAGAGAAGCTTAAAGGTCCATTGTGTAGGTTTTAGTGGCATTTAGGGGTGTAGTTGCAGATTGCAACTCCTTTCACCCTCCTTTTACAAGAACGTGTGAGAAAATACGGTGGCTGTAAAATGCACAAAAAAAGGCAAATGACCCTATCTACAGCCAGTGTTTGATTTGTCCATGCGTCTCCACAGATGGTGACCCACAGGTAACAAAAACATAACAATTCCTATATTCAGATATTTATACAAATAATTAAAAACAATGAATATTATATTCCATTTATGCCAATACAGCCTCTGAAATGTTACACACACATTACCAACATTACCAACAATGAGATGAGTCGAAATATATATTTCTTTAGCTTCAACTGTAACATTTAATAAATGTTAAGTTGCAGCCAATTTTATATATATTACCTTAGGCCCATTATACGTTTTAATGGCTGCATCAGCAGATATATTTTCCTCTTTGACACTCCAGGGCAGGGACGGAACAACATCTTGCCCTCTGTGTTGGTACCTAAATTCCAAATTTTTTGATTTCTGTTGCAAGATGATGTTGTTATCCTCAAATTTGCTCATAATTAAGTGTAAAAGAAACTGGAATCCTTCTGTTAGAAAACTATAGTCCAGATGTGCTAGAGAGGAGTTGATATGACCATTTAAACAGAATAAGTGCAGCAGACTGATGTGTTACATCATTAACAGCATCAGCACTATAATAGACTGGAACTGAAATGTTCCATAGCATTGTTTTGTTTGTCCATTCTGGGCAACTGTAGAAACATGGTGGTTCAACACAGTGGACTTTTATTTTAATGTGATTATACACTAATGTAAACATACTTATACTATATATTATATTCCATTTCTTGACCTTTAACAGACAGTTATTATGTAGTCAATAAAGTATTGTATCACCAAATTCCTTACCAGTATAATGTCCTCCGTGCATTCCTCCATGATGGTTACACACAGCGTAAAGGTCGTACAGATAGTCGTGGGGGAGGATCATGTCAGCAGGTTGGTGGTGTTGGCCTGAGGGCTGCTTCCAGGAAGGTGGCCAAGCCCCTAAGTTCAGGTTCCTTATACTCTGACTCCTCTTTACTACATGGGGGGCCATGTCCAAACCAGTCAAGGGGAAACGCACCAGGGTTGACAGCTTGTTCCTCCGTTCGCCCACCTGTTTCAACATTTCTTATTCATATATACAGTAGAAATATTTGCAGGCATGAAAAATAACACACATTTTTATGTGAAAATGTATGTAGTGGCTTTAATGGAAATAAATTCAACACGGAATTTACATTTTATCTGCTATCAAATGAATGTTGCAGAAAATAAAATAATGCATAATACAAAACTATATCTAGTTTATATATACAAAAACTAATCACATGTGGTAGAAAACTAGCTACACAGGTGTCTACAAGGATGTTTGTGTACTTTTGACCACTACCCTATCACAGCATGACTGTTTTCTTTTAATTGTATTAGAAAAAGATAGAAAAGAACCCCATCTGATTGTAACTTTCTGTTGAACTACTGGGTGTAATCGGAAATGATCAGACATGTAAGAAGGCTTGAAGCCACTAAGAGAAGTGCAGCAGCGATTTTCTGCCCAACATCACTCGGTATGGATTTGCCCTCCAAATTACGCTTTAATATTGAAGACCCACTGTCCCTCCTGGGATTGGCATGTTATTATAACGTACAGGTCTGCACACCCCCACAGCCAACTGTGTCATGCCAAACGCTGGCGTCTCCTATGAACATCTATGGCACAGTCAAATAGAATAATCGACTATATTCTAATGCCAACACTGAGAAAAATCACATTGGTCAGTGGAGGGAAATCACAATGGATGGGAGCTTACAGGCAAGTGCCTGAAGGGGTTGGCTAGGGTTTAGCCTGACTGGGCTCAGAGCTCAACATGCTGTCACCTTAGACCACGATCAGTGAGGAGAAGCAGAGGGCTGCCAGTCAAGCACTGGACAAGGGTAGAGGGATAGCTGAACTTAACCTTGGCTGCAGTAATGTTATCTGGTATGAATTCTCCGGGGGGCAGCGAGACAGAAGGTGTTTGGAAGGTGGTGCCAGCTAGATAAAGTAGGGATATGTTTGCCGAATGTGCCAGCTGTGAAATGAAGCACCTTGATAGAAGCTGGACTGTGTCCTTCTGGACGTGGCCAAGGTGAGCAGTGCCATCGGGCAGTGACGTGCACATACATTTTGATGGGCAGTGATGTGTGTACAAAAAGAAAAATAAAGCACTTGCATTTGCATAGTCAGACAAATGGTACCCCATAACTTTGAGATGGAGACACTGATCAGAAAGTACAATATGTTTTAAATAAAGAGAATATTCTATTATATAGTAAGTAAAATGTATGCTATTATATATTTAACAGAATATGATATAACTTTGTTTGTCAATAAAGTTGGTGGAGAGACCAATTATAAAGAGAACCATTAAAATTGAAGGGCCAAGATGTAGCGTAGGCAAAGCAGGACCTTAGCAGTGCAGCAGCGTCCATTAGATGGACGGTAACTAAAACATACAGTGGGTACGGAAAGTATTCAGACCCCTTTACATTTTTCACTCTTTGTTTCTTTGCAGCCATTTGCTAAAATCAAAAAAGTTCATTTTATTTCTCATTAATGTACACTCAGCACCCCATCTTGACAGAAAAAAACAGAAATGTAGAAATTTTTGCAAATTTATTAAAAAAGAAAAACTGAAATATCACATGGCCATAAGTATTCAGACCCTTTGCTCAGTATTGAGTAGAAGCACCATTTTGAGCTAGTACAGCCATGAGTCTTCTTGGGAATGATGCAACAAGTTTTTCACACCTGGATTTGGGGATCCTCTGCCATTCTTCCTTGCAGATCCTCTCCAGTTCTGTCAGGTTGGTTGGTGAACGTTGGTGGACAGCCATTTTCAGGTCTCTCCAGAGATGCTCAATTGGGTTTAGGTCAGGGCTCTGGCTGGGCCAGTCAAGAATGGTCACAGAGTTGTTCCGAAGCCATTCCTTTGTTATTTTAGCTGTGTGCTTAGGCTCATTGTTTTGTTGGAAGGTGAACCTTCGGCCCAGTCTGAGGTCCTGAGCACTCTGGAAGAGGTTTTCTTCCAGGATATCTCTGTACTTGGCCGCATTCATCTTTCCTTCAATTGCAACCAGTCGTCCTGTCCCTGCAGCTGAAAAACACCCCCATAGCATGATGCTGCCACCACCATGTTTCACTGTTGGGATTGTATTGGGCAGGTGATGAGCAGTGCCTGGTTTTCTCCACACATACCGCTTAGAATTAACGCCAAAAAATTCAATCTTGGTCTCATCAGACCAGAGAATCTTATTTCTCATAGTCTGGGAGTCCTTCATGTGTTTTTTGGCAAACTCTATGCTGGCTTTCATATGTCGTGCACTGAGGAGAGGCTTCCGTCGGGCCACTCTGCCATAAAGCCCCGACTGGTGGAGGGCTGCAGTGATAGTTGACTTTGTGGAACTTTCTCCCATGTCCCTACTGCATCTCTGGAGCTCAGCCACAGTGATCTTTGGGTTCTTCTTTACCTCTCTCACCAAGGCTCTTCTCCCACGATTACTCAGTTTGGCTGGACGGCCAGGTCTAGGAAGAGTTCTGGTCATCCCAAACTTCTTCCATTTAAGGATTATGGAGGCCACTGTGCTCTTAGGAACCTTGAGTGCTGCAGAAATTCTTTTGTAACCTTGGCCAGATCTGTGCCTTGCCACAATTCTGTCTCTGAGTTCCTTGGGCAGTTCCTTGGACCTCATGATTCTCATTTGCTCTGACATGCACCGTGAGCTGTAAGGTCTTATATAGACAGGTGTGTGCCTTTCCTAATCAAGTCCAATCAGTTTAATTAAACACAGCTGGACTCCAATGAAGGCTCAGAACCATCTCAAGGAGGATCAGAAGAAATGGACAGCATGTGAGTTAAATATGAGTGTCACAGCAAAGGGTCTGAATACTTATGACCGTGTGATATTTCAGTTTTTCTTTTTTAATAAATTTGCAAAAATTTCTACATTTCTGTTTTTTTTCTGTCAAGATGGGGTGCTGAGTGTACATTAATGAGAAATAAAATGAACTTTTTTGATTTTAGCAAATGGCTGCAATGAAACAAAGAGTGAAAAATTTAAAGGGGTCTGAATACTTTCCGTACCCACTGTATAACTGTATAACTAAAAGGCCACCCATTTACCCTAACTCTTCAGGCACTTCCCATAAAGCACTTCAATGCAGTTTTTCATTAGACCCTCCGACCTTAACCAGTGCCACAAAAGATTCCATAACATTTTTCTCAGCTCATTATTTTCGTGTTGCTTATACATTGTAATTAGTATGTTCAGAGTGGCAGTGTTGGGGTTTGTGTGTTACAGTCGTTATCCTGTGGTGTTAAGGATGCGGCTCTGAAGGACTACACTTGGTGTTGTCAAAGTCAAACCCATAGCTGCTGCAGCAAGCACTCAGGCCTGGCACATGGGGCACCAGCTACCAGGGCACCCTAGTGAGGCACTTAAACCAAACAAGACACAGGGCAGTGGCTGGAGTCACTGCAGCCACTATTTGTGGACGTTTCTAGTGTGGGGACACTAATGAGTGAATGCTACTGTGTTGGAGTTTGTCCCAGAGTATGAGAGGTTGGCTCCAATGTGACTGTGTACTGCAGAGGTTGTTATTGGTGCTCATGAATTGCACAGCAGTTTGAAGTAGACTTTTTGACATTTAGATTTTGACTTGTCATAGTAGGAAAAGCACAGGTGTTACTATTAACATTAATGATGGTGCCGTTCTGTTTAAGTGTCCCAGTGAGCCATGACAGTGTGACAGACAGCCAGAATGCACATCACCAGGGCTCTGAAACTGAAGCTGCTTAAGGGAATTCAGCCACCATTAATAGTATAATTTACAGCTGTACTTTTTCTACTGTGACATGTCAAGATTTCTTGAGACCCTGGGGTGTCCCAATTGCAAGCCACACACGGTTTGTCAACAATATGTATTATAAACTAATTGTCGCAGTATATTGTATGTGCATTTAGTATACAATCGTCTACAGCCATGCTAGAGGCTGAAGCTGTACTGAGGCACACCAGCCCAGCAACATGCTCACAATGACAATGCTAACAAGCCGATGTTTGTGCCAATCCAACCAGAAGATGTTGAGATATTTTACACAAGTTAAAAGAAAAGTCATGAGATCGCCAAAGTCTTTAGGAGACATTGGGGTCCATGAACATCTGTGCAAGGTTACCAATCAATACCAATTCATCCAATAGTTCTCAAGACATTTTGAGGTGGACCGACCCATAGACTGACATTGCCATCCCTTGGGCCATGACATTGATATGTGTTATGACATCTAAAAAACCTAGAAAGTAATCCATCTATAAATCCATCCAGTTGAGATATTTCAGTCTGGACCAAAGTAGTGAACGGACAGATGGACCAACCAACCAACCAAGACTGCCATCACTAGAGCCGTGCCTCTTCACATTGCCAAAAATCTATGTTCTTTACTTTGTTTTACTGACATGGTCTCAATTGGGTGTTAATCAGACATTTTCTTAAGGACTATAGTCTTACTTGGGGGCTCTTTAATGATCGCATGGGTAGTCACAGACAAACTGAAGGACAATTCCTGATAAGAACAGCCTATGTCGTCTGAGTCTACATCAGATAACTCAGACAATACAGAATGGTGAGGCAAAGCACAGTGAGAAGCATTTGAAATGTGTGTGTTGGAGGGGAAGGAGCAGTGGCAGGTAAATATTAATTAGTTCTATTGTTTGTTTATCTTCCTGTAATGTGTCGGGATTTCTCTCTCTATGGAAAGACTTAGCAGAATGTTTAATGCTGAGCTGTCTGGAAAAGTTTTGTGGTTAGAACGTGGCCCAGCGTTTAGTTTGTGCAGCACCTCTCATTTATCTAAGTTGTACTCAGCTGCATTCATTTACGTTCTGCCCTTCAATTAACAGCCTGAATGAATACAACACCACTTAATGTGTGTATGTGTTCTCCCTCAGCTCTAGGTAGACACAAACTTGTTACAGATGGTGACAGAAGATATGTGGGATTGACTCTTTACTGTCCAATGATGAAGAGATATGTTATTGATTGTATTTTGGAGGCAACATTCCCATCTAACTGGGCAACAGCCTGCCCTCCAATCTTATCTCACCTCTGCCTCATCCTCTCGAACTGTTATAGCCTGAATCCTTCAATCTACAGAATATTTGATGCAACAATGAGTATATGTATATAGGCAGCTATAAATTCAATATGGACATATGATTACCTCGTAAAGAGACCACTTTGCAGCTCACCTACCTGTCGGAAGCGCTTGAGATGAAGGATCAGTATGTCAGGGAGAGTCCACAGGCTCATCTTCACCATGCCCTGCTGAAGCTGCTTACAGTGGGGACACTTCCAGGCATCGTCTGGGGCAAGCTGGAATCAGTGAGTGAATCAATCAATTAAACGGTTATACAAATTACATAAAACTGTGAATTTTTTACTTCAGATGGATTGTCCTTACATGGAAGCAGGTGTTAATGTGTTTTTCATTAACTCTGCCCTGATCTGTGAAGTTGGAACTAGAGTTTTCTGGAGTGGAGTTGGTCAAAAGAAGGCAAAATGTGAAATGTGTTTGCTGCCTCCGTTTCTGCTTGCTTTAGAGGCTCTATACTACTTAGGTCACCTGTGTTTGACTGACATCTTCCCACTGCTTACATCTTTCAAGTATGGAAGAAAAGGACTTTGTTTGCATTTCACAGTGCTCGGAGGAAGAATGAGTGACTTCAAAAAAGTTATTGTTTTAAAATGAACTCATCCAAGTCATGACAATAGCCCTTAAGCTGTAGCAAAATCCTGCCTATATCAAATGTCAGTGATCCCCAGTCTACACTAGTCTCATGGCTAATCATGGTTGCTGTTGCTATGGCTATAGGCAGGGCTCCATTGCCTCTCTCCAAGAGTCCAGGGGTGATCATGAAATAAATTTGCTTCTTTCAATTCAATTCAATTTTATTTGTATAGCACCAATTCATAACAAAAGTTATCTCAGGAAATTTTTCAAAGAGAGAAGGTCTAGAACATACTCTATATGACCCAAGAGTTCCAACCATGAGCAAGGCCTACTTGAAAAACTTCCTTCAAAGAGGAGGAAACCTTGGGCAGACCCCGGCTCTAGGTGGGTGGCCATCTGCCTCGCTTTGTCTCCTGTTGGTGTGTAACTTAAAAGACCTATGTGTAGGGTTTAGTGGCATCTAGCTGTTCAGTTGCAGATCAAGCTCCCTTGTTTCTCCTACAACCGCAAAGGAGAAACTACGGTGGCAACGAAAAGTGTGAAAAGTGCAAAACTGCGTATCAGGAGTGTTTAGTTTGTCACTGCTAGATTCTACATAATCCTACACACTGCTCTTGTAAGTCTTCAGTGATAAGGGAATTCATGCTGCAACCAAGGAGTAATTACCTACAGTGAATTAAGTGGTCTCACTTCATCCAGATCACCATCAATAAAACTCATAACAAAGATGATAAAAAAACTAACACACACCACACATTGCAAGAGCCGCTCATTCAATAAACAAAAAACAAAAGCCTGAATATTATATATATAATATATACATATATATATATATGTATATTTCTCAAAAAAAATTGTAAGCGCTCCAACCCAGCCTTCAGTCAGGGAAAAAGTGTAAAAATTGAGTGTGGAGACACAAATCATTTAAACTAACAGTTTTATTCCATAGATATTGTGTGTGGGATATCTTATGTGTGTGATAAGACACAGGAGAGCCAAGAAAAGACAATGGATTGGAGATTGTTATGGCTGACACTCAATGGACAGAGTTTAGTGGAAAAAGCTACATTTCAAAAATATGAAATGTTGTTTCCAATCTTTTTCAGTATAAATGAGGTAAAGACTGTGTCCTTTCCAGGGACTGACTTGCAGAGAGTTTTCCTCTTGCTAAATGAGCTGACTGTGACTGACATACTGAATCAGGTGGCAAAAGAACAATATAAACCTCACAGAGACTGAACCGTGGTGGAAAATGTAGGGTTTTGCTGGAGACCGGCTGTTTGAATACAAACACACAATGCAGATTCTTGTACAACAGGGGATAGGGGACCCAGTCAGCTTCCTTTGTGATTTTATATGAATAGAGATGAAATCATCAGAAGTACAATAAGCCTCAAAAACACAACAAGGACGCTCTTGCTGAGACAAGAGGCCATTCCAGATCTCTACAAATAGAAACCTTCTTAAGATTTGTTAAATGTCTATGTTATATACTATTAATTAGGCAAACTGACACAGAAGTTTGGCCCTTTTTCCTTCTAAATCAAAATACTAATAGATGAGTGAGTGGATATAAATGCGTGAGAACAACAGATAGGGACAGAATGAAGATCCTTGACTTCAGTCTATGGCAGTAGAGACCACACCCCTGCCCCCTTACTATGTCAACATTTACATAATTAATTTTTTATTCAACAAAATTTAATTGTGCCAAGAATAGTATTTCACGAGAGGAATAAATTTTAAGTGATGAGCAGCTGTTCGTTAGATCTGACTGGCTGTCTGCACTTTGGATGATCACATTTGGAGCAGCCCCCACACGGCACTTGAGCTCTCCCTGCTGTGCAGCAGTTAGTTATTACACTGCACTTCCGTTTCACAGGCTCATTTCAGTCAGTAATTGGTGATGTTTTTACAGTCCATAAATTCACGGTGAGCAGGGTTGTACGCAATCATTACGGCTCTGAGTTGTCATCACATTTATTGGTCATGACAAAACTAATGTAGCTTCCTTCCTTGTTTTGTACAAATCCTACCTCTTATCCTCCAAGGCAGTATCATCATTATGTTTTTTTTATTATTAGTTTCTAGAATTTATTTGTCTGTTATTTTCTGAAACAGTGTGTTACAAGTTACGCATTGTCATTTTAAAAACGTGTTTCCTTTTCTCATTTACCAAAGTTATGTCATCTTCTCTTCCTTATCCAGACCACAGCCCAGCATTTTTAGGCATGCTCAATCACTGAACTCTGTGTGTTCTGTGTATGTGTGTGGATGTAGTTAATTAATGGTTAATGGTTAATGGACTTGTACTTGTATAGCGCCATGTCATCAAATGTACATGAGACAAATGCAGCAAACGTATTAATTTTTTCTCTTCAGTGGTGACACAAATCTACATGCTTCATGTACACCAATCCGTAACATTATGAGCACTGTCAAGTGAAGTGAAAAACACTGATTATCTGGTTATCATGTCTCCTGTCAGTGGGTGGGATAGGAGCAACTTTGACAAGGGCAAATTTGTGATGGTTAGACTACTGGGTCAGCGCATCTCCAACTGCAGCTCTTGTGGGGTGTTCTGCAGTGTTCAGTACCTATCAAAAGTGGTTGAGGGGAGCGAAGGCTGGCCCGTGTGGCCAATCCAACAGACAAGCTACTGTAGCTTAAGCTGCTGAAACAGTTCATGTTTCTGATAGAAAGGTGTCAGAAACACGTCTGTTGTTTATGGGGCTACAAAACATTATGACCACCAGGGAGCCCAGGTGGTCATAATGTTATGGCTGATCGGTGTATTCTTAATACTCTTAACATTTGGAAATTGCACTCTCCTTATTTTTAACAATGTACACCTCTTTTCTCTTCAATAATACTGTTTACAGTAAGTTTTGTATTTTATATTTATAATAAGACTGCCTGACCTATGTGGGACTTGTTGGACTATGTGGGATATTTTGTCTTATTTATACACCAAAACTCCAAGGCAAGTTCCTTGTATGTGAAAACTTACTTGAACCTATTACTTCTTCTATTCAGCCTTGCTAGAAATAAGGATTTACTGCTGATGTAACTATGTGGGAGTTGTGGCCAGTGAGAATATTTTTTTTATAGATTGTGAAACTGCATGTGGATACTGGAAAGATTAATGTCACTCAGGACAACAACAGGAGGCAACGGTAAAACTATGAACAACAAATTATGAAGTTAAGACGTCACCATGCGCCAATGTGTGAAAAAATGTATGGTCACAGTGTGCAGAGGGGGTCAACTGCAAAGGTTTATTTTATCATAACAGTGGAGCTGGTAATATGAATTATGAAATAAAGGCTGCTTGGTTTGCTTTTGCTTAAGGCCATGGTATATGGTTATATGTAAATACAAGAACATGATCAACCATTGCAACAAGAGTATTTCAGCTTAAACTGAAAAACAAAAAACCCCAAAAACATACAAGAAAAACAGAAGATTAAGAAAGAAAACAACATAACACAGTGCCATACACCAAAAGAGGATTAGTGATTAAGGTGAAAGTTAATTTTAGTTTTGTATTTGCAATTTAGAATACCACTGGGTCCGGTTTAATGAAACCATGTCCAGTAAGCTCTAATCTTCCAATGGGGATTCAGGGGTTTCACCACTTTTATTCATTTTACATACAAATAAGTGGCAGAGCAATACACGATTGCAATACCCGATTGCTCTGGCACAGCTCTGATTTGTCTTCAAACCTACTACAAGAAGTTTTAAATGGTCATGAAACAGACTAAATACAGCTGCCTCTATATGATCTACATAAGCACACCAGACTATATAGTAATTCTTTATGCCTGCAACCGGGCCGTATTTGGTCGGATTCCCGTTGAATTTAATGAAATGAGAACATGGAAACATTATCGCTTCTGCCCACAGGGGCAGCCAGAATCAACAAAAAAATGGATGTTCCTTGTTTCTGCTTGTATGCAGATGACTCTGTAATTGTGAGTTTTCTGCAGAGTGGGGAACAAGATCATGGTTTCCTGTCTTTCCTCCAAATAAATGTGGTTAAGACCAAATAAATGTCTATGGGTTTTTGAAGGAGGCCTTCAACCTGACTCGCGTCTGATTGAGGGCAAGCCAGTGGCAGCAGCGCAGCAATATAAGTATGTGCGAGACGCTTAAATTCGCTGCAAACGCAGATGCTATACGTAAAAAGGCAAATCAGCGGGTTGTTATTTTTAAGGAAGTTACAGTATTAATGTAGATATGACACTGATGAAATCTTATTTCATTGACTCTATCTTTCCTTCTTTGATGATTTGCTGCTCTTAAAAATAGGTAAAGAGCCAAAACAGGGCTGTCTGACAGCAAGGTAAAGTGGTGAAAATCGTCTTAATATACCATACACGTAAAGTGATACTGAGGTGGGACTATTTTTTTATATGGTTGAAATAGGTTTTTCTGGTGACCCAGTATTCAGCAGTGCATTGCTCTGCTTCCATGCTGGGACTCCTGTCTGCTTTTTCTCACTGAGACTATGGATAAGTACCTCATACAACACCACTTCAAAAAACCTGAACTATTCTTGAACACCTATATAAAGTCAAGGACATCTCAAAGGCAAAGCTTTACTCTACCTATTTTTTATTTCTTACAAGAAACACAGAGCTAAGAATAATGACTTATGTTGTTTACATGGTAGTTGTCAGTCTCACTCACCTGTTCTTCTTTGGTATATAGCTGGAAGCACTCGTCCAAGGTACAGCTATGCTGCTGCAGATGCTGCTGCTGCTGGTTTCTCACACTCTCTGCATCTTTTACCACCTCCTCCTGGATGCTGCCAAACAGACTGAAACACATGCAGGGTTTATTGTTCCCATTCAGCTGCAGAGTTGTATTTACCATGTTTGAATCCCCATATTTTTTTTTGTCTATTTACAGACACAAACTGAATTACTGAGTGTTTTGGATTACAAGCACAAAAGCTAATAAACCTGTGATAAACTGTCTTCCTGAATGCTTACCATTCTTTAGTCTTGTGCTCCCACTCAATGACAAGCTTCACATGGGCAGGTCCCCCAGGGCCACAGAACTTCAGAGCTCTACAATACAGCAAGAGAAAAACTGTAAAATCGCATTTTAAACACACATCTTATGATGTGATGTTAGTATTAAGTGTTGCTCATCTCCAAAAGCCACAAACCAGAAAACCAAGGCAGGCTGAAATATGTGTTGCTGCCATGCAGAGAATAATGGACCTGTTGTGTATTTTATTTCACCTTGATATACACAGACACACACATACTCACACAGTGGCAACAACAGAGTTACACTGGGCACAGGTGAGACCTGGCTTCACATCGTGTATTAATATGCAAAAATATGATGTTGAGTCACAGTGCAGAGAGGGTGTTTGTATTGCAGAGCTTACCTTCGCTACTTTGATCTCAGTGAGAAAGATAAAACAGCATCAGTATGCAACAGCCCATCGGCACTGATAGAGGGCTAAGGTAGATTTAACAATGACTGAATACTAAAGGTAGTTTTTTCTTGCAGGCACATGACGGATCACTATGTTTCGGAGTCGTGTCAAAATTCAATCGCCTTTGATTTTGCAAAGCATCTGTATTCTTGTCAACATCAAGATAACAGAGATTTCTAGCACTGACAAATATCTTGACTGATTCTCACTATGAGTAGTTTCATTGTACATTCAAAGGAGAACTCGTGTTTTCTCTCTGAATGTGTTCAATGCATAAACATGTACATACTGAGTGTAACCACTAGATGTCAGGCTTACTGATGATGTCAACACAATTTAAGGAAGTTAAATATTATTAATATAAGAAAACGACTTAACTATTTGCTGCTATTCCACCTATTGTATCTAAATCTCTCTCTCCACTTGTGAATGTACTTAAGTTTTATATGAGTGCTGCAATAATAATTGAATCTGGATGAATGATTTTATGTCTGCCTACAAACTGCAGGGCACACAAACCTAAATGGAATCCAGTTCACAGCGCAGCAGAGCTTTGATTGGCCAGACTGCTGCCAACATATAACAGCTGGTCAATTAAACACTGAAAAAAAAGTCTATAATTATTCTAGTGGCACACTCCAGATATAACAGCATAACAACATGCAGACAAACAGCTATTATTTAGAAACAAAGTGAATACCCAGTAAGCTGACCAGGGCAATACATTTAAAAATGAAATTCTATCAAATTAAAACATTTGTACCACTCAATGTGCTATTTGGTTGCTATATTTGGTGACAAGTGATAAAGGTACATTCATTATCTTCTCAAAACACAAAGCTGTGGGCTACATAAAGCTGATAACATATGAAATCAAATGTTTTCTTTATTTGCTGTGATTATTGTGTTGATCCCATGTGTAAAAGTTGAAGCTGTTGCAGCGAGTCTTGATAAAGTCCGCAGACAGCCAGGTATATGTGGAGCCATATGAAATATACAATATATGACATAGGCAGGAGAAGCCAAGATCCTTTGTCATGTGTTTATAGTTTACAATACACATTGTGCTTTAACATGGACACAGCATCCATCACTGTCAAATATTCTACACCATTTACTATATATTGTAAATAGACATGTATACAGGCATTTACATAACCACCCAATTCAAGTATATAAAGTAATCTTTTGGCCATTCAGTATTTATTTCTTTTAACTATTTGTATTTGTATATAATTTACAGAAACAACTGACTTGTATATACATGTATGTATGTATATAGACTGTATGTTTTGTATGTGTTGCTTTTTGAATACACTTATTTTTTACTAGTTGTAAATACTTGCTATAACCAATAACGCTGATTCTGATGCTGTGCAAGCAAATAGCTATTTCCTGGAGGCAGTATGCACGAAACAGTCGGAAAGTATTGGTAGAAAAGAATCTTTCGTTCCTTTTTGTTCAGTTTGGAGTTTGGATACAAAAATCAGTAATGGAAAATGCTAAATAAAGACCAAGGACAAAATCTCTATTAGACAGTGGTTTGACTAAAATAGGGGTGAACACAAACATGAGTTTAGCATAAAGCATCTTTATACATGCTGAGCTGACATGTCACCCAGGTGACTTCAGTTTCTGAATCATAAAAAGAAAATTGTACAGACATGTTAAGCAGCTGATAAATGACGACCTGAGGTGCTTATTGACCTGCTGGCACCTATATGGGAAACTGTTCCATTTCATAATTCCTTATTTGGACAGATGGCTTTTTCTCATTGTGTTTGCTGGTGTTTTCTTGTTGAGTCAACAAGAAAAACTGGCTTTGGTTATAACAATTAAATGCTATATACTTGCTCCTAAATAAACATTAAATAAATAAATAAAATAAATTATTGATTACCATATGAGACACAAGTTAGTATTTGATGAGTTTATGATTAGTTATTTTTTGATATTGATCCTATCTGTGGGTATTGTGAATGAAATCAGTTAGATTTTGAAGGTGATGTTAGTAATGACTTGTGGCCAATGAAACAGGAACACGTGTTCTGACAAAAGCATGAACGCACACACAGACACACAAACACACACAGACACATACACATGTACGGACTGTCTTATCTAACATGGACGACGTTCTCATTTCCTAGCTCCTTTGTGGAAGGCTTGAACTTCAACACATCTCAGCAGAACAGCAGAGATTTATACCAAGCTTTGCAGCTGTATGGCGACACCTTGATAGTGTCCGTCACACAAGTATTAAAAGGCCTTATCTTCATACCGTCAAACTGATATAATTATACTCACTTCCCTGTAATCCTCTTCAGGGCGATTGGCTTCTGAAAGGAATTTCAGCTTTTTGTCTAAACTACTACTAAACATTCATGTAGTCAGTTCAATGTCAGCCATTTGTGGTGTGGCCAATTAAAGAGCTTTATTAAGTTATTTTTATGTAAATGATTGCATTTTTCTTTGCGTTTCTACCATTCCAACCTCAAGGCCATGTGGAACATGTATATGCCAGTGTTTCAGCATATGTGTGTGCTGTATTAGAGGATGTGCATGCTATTATCATGAACTGACTGTAGATCTATGTTGTCATAAATGTGTTATCGACCACACATAGATAGAGTGTTGACATGCTGATATGAGTGTGTGTCTGTGTAGGTACACTGATTTTCTTTGTGAGAGTGGACATGTGGGTGTGTGTTTCCTACCTGTCAACTGCAGGATGGTACAGTGGTCTGCTGTCCTGCGGGGACAGGTAGCTGTAGACTGCTGATACCCCCACCACTCTGACCTTAAACAGCACCCCGGCATTCTGCAGGTAGAGAAATACACATTACAGTAGTACAGCTGTCTCCCTAAAGAGCTCGCACCCCCACTTAAAACAATGTCAACCTATTATATTAAAAGATTTATCTAAGTTTCAAATTCAGGGGATATATGATTTTGACTTTAAAAAAATGGTAAATATAGCCAGAAAAGCTTGTTTATATTAATCTGACAAAAATGTGTCATTTGAATGGAGAGAAAGAAAAAACAAGCATTGCCTTTGGGTACTATAAAGCCTCTGAATGAACTGTATGGATGTAAACAAGTCATTTAGAAACACCTGCAAGAAACCTTCAGCAACTCTTGAAATGAAGTGCTGCGTAAACCCAACAATTCTCTAATTTCAGGCAGAATCTATACATAACATAATCACAACAGTTAAAAAGCATACAACCTCCCTCATTTATATTTGGCAACTAGTCTTGCTGCCTCCTCACTCAAATCAAGAAAAAAATGCATTTAGAGATAGATTATAACTCCTCTGCTGCCTCAGCAGCAAAGAGAAGGAGACTGAGTTATTAGGGAGCAGAGAGCAGAATCAGGTTGCTAATGCGTTCATTCTGAGCAGGTTGCCGTTGGAGAATAGGAACTGCAGCTGAGCATAAAGAGAAATAAATTAGTTGGTTAATAGGAGCCTAAAGCAGCAATGAAAAATATTCAGTATTAAGGGCCTGAGCACGCATGCATTCAGAAGGCCTTATCTATCTAATGACTATAATGAAGAAGAGCAGACAAGACACTTCACACTAATAAGTAATCATAAACGAGTTTGGGACATTTTTGAATGAACTCTGGAGAGTTAAGCATCCACAAGCTTCAACAGAAAGATCTGTAAGCTGCCTTATAGGAGAACTGTCAATCAACTGTCAATCTCATCTGGAATTTGGGTGCTTTGGGGACCCAGAACTAATCCTCTTTTGGGTGAGCTCTTGATCAATAAATTATATATATAAATATATATAACAATATAAAACAAAATCTTCCAGAACTGTAAAAGAACTGAGAGAATTTTTAATACCCTTTAAATTTGTAATTTGCCTGTCTGGTTTTTGTTACAAAAACCGCAAACAATTTACTCTCTCTTTTGACTCCTTTAGTATATATAACATATATATATATAATAAAGTACATTTTATACATTTATTTCAGAGGTAATGTTCCCACAACTTGTCAGAAGGTGTCAGAATAAAAAACACAAACTTTCTTGCCTATATAGTGGCCTATATTAAACCTGATGCACAGAATGTCCTTTAATACAAAACGTTATCATAAAATTTGAGAGGGCTTCAATATGTTATGGATTAAAACAGAATTAAGAAAAGCTAAGGCATTGGTTTTCATTCATTTATTCATTTTAACATTAATTGTAAAAGCAAGAGGCACTTCTGGGATGATTTTGAATCAGATGAAGAACAACTAATACCCTGAAGAAGAAAAGCCACTATAACGTTAATATTACAAGGGGGAACATTCTGACAAAGTTGAAATAGTTCAACTCTTCAAGTCATTACAGCCATTATGTGGCTGTGGCTTGGTGATGAAAAGCTTAAACGGAAGTTGTCCAACACATTAACAATAAACTTTACCTTTCATCCAACTTTTAAACCTCTTATCTAGATCTAAAATTACTTGACCAGCCATTTGGCACAGACCATACACACAATCAACACTCATATTAACACACTTACATTCAAATGTACTATCTTTTCTTTACAAAATATAATGGCTGGGAAAAAAAGAGCTGGATTTTGACAAACAAGTAAACAAGTTTTTTTTTTGTACCCTGAACTGAAAGTTGTATCTAGCTAAACAAACCTCTGGGTGGCACCAAAACACCTCATAATAAAGAAGCATACTACACAGTGATAACAGTAAGATCACAAGTTGCCTTCTTATTTTTACAAAAGATCACTGCTCTTATTTTTTTTATTTTTCCTTTTAAAACAAAGCCTCAGCAAATATATGAAGCCTTACACTCTGGGGATATTAGAGGCTTTTTTAGCTAAACAAATCTGTAAAAGTTAAAGATCCTGGTGACCTTTGTTTTTATTAAGGAGAAAAGGGTAAACGCGGTTGCAACCAGCCAGATAGGCTTTGAGGATGTGAGACACTGAGATAGAGATCAGTAAATAACAGGCTGGTATTTCTCTTTCTCCTCCTCTTCAGTTCTTTTCTTATAAAGCTGAGAGCTGTTCACTCTGGATAAGGCCACCTCAAATATTGCCTGTCACCATGGTGTTGCCCATGGCAACCCGACAACCAGCCGTGGGGACAGTGTCGGTGCGTGTGTGTGTATTTGAGAGTGGAGCTTTGGTTTAGGGCTTGTGGTGTACAGATCACTTGAACTGTCTATGGAGGAACAGATGAAGCTGAAGTGGAGATGTGCTAGTCAGGGATCATCGTCAAAGCTTGCTGTACATACTGAGCGGAGGAGAGGTGAGAGTAGAGGTGGATTTTAACATGCAAGACTGGCTGTCCGTCAAACGAACACTTCAGAATGACAGGATGTATCATGTACATCTTAATTCAGGACTGCAGCAATAGTACATATTCAAATGAATCAGTGTAATTTTTATTTTCACTAAAATACGGACCTTCTTATATACTAGTAAAAATGAGGATTTGTGTTATTGGGCTTAGAGTCTGCAGTGACATAATTAAATGTATACTCAGCAAATAAAAGCCATAAAAGGCTTGGACTGTGTGTGTGTGTGTGTGTGTGTGTGTGTGTGTGTGTGTGTGTGTGTGTGTGTGTGTGTGTGTGTGTGAGAGAGAGAGAGAGAGAGAGAGAGAGAATATAGAATATAATGTCCTCAGGTGCACTCCTTTCTAATATGGTTGATTTGAAGGATTTCTTTGATTAAAAGCAATTTCCGGTATTGCAAATTAATTTTTTCTTGTCTTTGAATGAAGGATGCAAGATTTTGCGGTGCAACAGAGCAGGAGATTGCTAAAACTCAGAACAACAACAACTAAATTTAAATTGTATTAATCAGGTGTGACGACTTCAACATCTGTATAAAACATCAGTCCTTTGTGGGTTTGAAAGGTTTTGAAGAAAAATATTGATTTTACAGCACACTACGTTCAAGAGATAGGTAATTAATAAGGAGGAGCCAGTACAATACTGTAGTTACTATGGTCCAATATACAAAGAGTTACTCAAACTTCAACAATTATTCACTCAGATTGCTGAGCAGAAAAACTATTTGTCGTCTCAGCAGAGGAATTAGCTCTTTTCGAAATGCATCATCAAAATCATGAAAAATATCAAAGCATCAGACTTTAAACACACTGTTAAGTGGTTCAATTTCTGGTCTCAATTTTTAATAATAATAATAATAGCTCCAAATGTGACTCAGTCAACTGTAAACAGACAATGGAAACTATTTAATTCAAAGACAGGATCCAACCTTAATGACAATTGATTAAAATTCTAACTAATCTCTGCTCTGTGCTGCTTTTAATTTGGTCCACTGGAGTAAAGAAGATCCAGGAACCCCCTGAGCAGAAGGGTCTAGGGCACAGAATAGAGTGGGTGACATGTTATTGGTTATTGGATGTGCAGGCATTACCTGAGCCTGAGATCCATTCAGCATCAAATAATAGAGCTTGCTGAGGATGCTCTGCTGCAACTGGTCCCAGGAGATGCTCCTGTCCTCACGCATGAGAAATGGAGGTCCAAATCTGAGAGAGGAGAGGAGAGGAGAGGAGAGGAGAGGAGAGGAGAGGGAGGGTTAGTAAAAAAGAATGACAACGTGCAAGTGCTATAGCATATATAAAGACAGGTGCTGCTGCAATATATCCAAGTTTACATATTACTCAATTGTTTTCATCAATGGAACCCAGTTTATACCCAAGGTAATTTACTTGCAGTATTTCTGATGTTGTACTGTAAAAATAAATAAATTCTTCTGCATTTATTTTTTTAGATTGATTAACGTAGCGAATCACCCACACTCCAACACCTCACAAATGAATTTCCACAAAGGTTGGGCTCATGGAAAGGGAAGAAATTGCCAGGAGGTCACTGCAGCCTATTGTGTCATCACCACATCTGTCAAGCTGTCAGGTGTCAAATGCGTCAAGGCTTTACTGTCAGTGCCTCGTGTCCTGTACTGCCAGCCTGAAGTGACATTATGTGGAGTCAGATAAAATAAATTAAATTAACTTGAGGCTCGTGCTGGCTGTAATAGATATGTGAGGTTAATGGAAGGGTCAGTTGTGTTTGTCAAATAGTTCAGGACCTCTCACAGATTAGATCCAAAGTTTTTAATATTTACATGAATGGGTGACTTACACAACACAAATACACTGAATTGTTTATTAGGTTCACCTAGCTAAAACTAACGTACAGTAGTATGAAACAACATTCCTGCAATTAATCCTACCTCCAGGAAAGTTAGAATGTTTTAGAGGAGTTTTGATCCAATTTAATGGTTATTTTGGAAGCTGCAGTTTGTGTTGCTATTGTTTGTTGTCTCTCTGTATAATCATTCCAATAGTTTGGCGAGCCCTATAAGTTTTAGTTAAGGTACATCTTAATGCTACAGCATACTGTGATACATGAAACAATACTGTGCTTCTAACTTTCTGGCAACACTTGGGGGAAGGACCTTCACTTTTTCAACATGACAGTGGCCCTGTGCACAAAACAAGGTCTGTAACAAAATGGTTTTACAAGTTTGGAATCAAAGGAGACCCTGACCTTCACCTTGTCAAACCCCTTTGGGATCAGTTGAAACGCTAACTGTGAGCCATGCTCTTGTGGCTAGATGGGAGAAAATCCCTGCAAAATCTTGTGGAAAACCATCCCAGAAGAGTGGAGGAGGTGTCGGTGTCCAAATACTTTTGGCCATGTTTAGTTTCATTTGATTAATTAAAATGCCATAGTAGCTGTCTTAGCTGTACCGAAAGTGGTGCAATAGACTAAGACCTGTCCTTTAAGTTCGGTGATGGATGGCTACAGTACATAGAATAGACTCAGATGTTTACTGCAATGTACACGAGCCCATGAGCCCTATGGCATGTGGACAACTGAGTTCTCAAATGTCACATCCTGACATTATTAGGCCATTATTAGGAGTGTCTGTTATCTGTTTCCATCTTGGATTTATGAGCATATAAGCATGAACACTGTGTACTCAGCAAGAATCAAGCTGAGCTTCACTAAGAGCAAAAAATCATGATTGAAACAGAATGACTAATGAAGAAAAATATCCTCTCGTGTCAATAACAGGTTAGGCTTTGTTGATCGCTCTAGGCAAATTGGAACCTGATTATAATTTGAGCAGTAACAACGGGAATATTACTTTATACACAATAAGCCCCTTAGTATCAGAGGATCACTGTCTACCCATGGTCAAATGAACACGCCCAGAATAATGCCCTGTGTTACAAAGCACACAATGTCTTATGATGGGTTTAGGAACATTACAGTGACTTAAATGTGTGTGTGCATCATGAACGTGCCACTTAAAAAAAACAGCAGGAACTGTGTGACCCAGTCAGTGTGCACCAAGTAAAAATTTTCCAGCAGTTCAAAAATTCACTTTAATGCAAAAACGAAGACTGGATAAACTGTCATACACAAACATGAACATCAGAACAGGAATATAAATGAGTGTAGACCCTACGTGAGTCCACAGTATGTTAACTGAAATGTACCCCTCCCCTCAGGTTATTCACTGCCATTTATAAGTCTTTAATTCATCCACTGAAGGACACCATTACACCACTGATTCAATTATGCTGGTGTTTGCTAGACAAAAGGTTTGGTGATACATTATCCTTAACTTAAGAGCCACCAGTTTTCTATTTAACTGTATTAAAAATGTAATCAAATATCATGTAATTCTCACTAGGAATAATCCAGGTGTGCTGGCAAGTTTTCCACTGTGTTCATCAATATAAAGTATTTCAACGGGATCACTGGGAGCTCAACCGGACAATCACACGTCTGCCCCGCTTTAGCTATGATCATTTGTAGTGTAGTGGATTAATCTTTAAAGTAGCTGTAAAATAATCACACATTAACTTGGATTAGCTGCATGAATCCTTCCCCAGTTCTAACCAGACTGAAATATTTATAAGTGTCTGGATCCTTTTAATATTTGTGATGTTGCCTACAGTGACAATGTCATTAGGTGGAAGATGTGATCAGAGCATTTTCTTTTCTGATTGGCAATGCCGTTCAGCCCCTGTGGGACTTTTATCCTCGAACAAAACAACACAGATCACCTGCGAGCAACAAACCAAAAGGTCCAGCTGTAGCTGGATTACGGCTGCTTATACTGTTGTGTCCAACTGTGTTATTGTTGTACATCAGATGCATTCTAGGTTCTAAGAACTTAATGATGCTGTCCACCCTTGTTGTCACATATGGCAACTGATCGCTATCTCAGGTTTCTACATTGTCAGCTTCAAGCTATAGCTGAACGGGAGCTAAATAAAACCAGCCTAGTCTGTGGCATTCATGCAATAGATATATAGGGCAAAGTTGAACAGAAATTGGATGTTGAAATTGAGACACCACTGGACGATGCAAGGGGAAAAGAATAAATGAGGTATTTGATTTAAGACTGTAGCCACAGCAGAACAGGAGGAAAGATGTCTCTGCAGCTGCTTCACAAATGTAAGCTTACCAAAAGCGATCTCATAAAAGAAATCAAAGATACCTGACTCTGCTGCTGTGTGCTTAACAAAACTAATTCACAAGATGAAGCCTTAACTCTACAGCTGAATAAACACAGTACACAATATCTGCTCAATAAAAACTAAATCAACAACAACAACTTAAAAATCAATCTGCAGCTCACCGGACAGCCTGCTGGCCAGATCCTGCTGTGTTGCAGATGAGGAGGAGGACCTTGGTGGAGCCGCCCTGGTTCAGGTATTCAGAGGAGAGGGTGCCAGACGGAGGTAACCTCTGACCATCCGGTCCAGCCTTAGAGGTGTAGGGGGAGGAGGGGAGGCTGTGGTGATACCCTGAGCAGAGCAGAGGAGTGGAGAGATTTGGGATTAATAAAGGCAAACATACTAGTAGAGATCCGAAGTGTTGGGGTGCAAACGCACACACAGTTTGTTTTTGTTCATTATGAAATAAACTGTAAGATAAGATAAGATAAGATGTTCCTTTATTGAACCCTCATAGGAGAAATTCAAATTAGACACATCAGCATAGGGGAATAGGGAAACTGTACTTGTCAACACAATGTTAACAGTTTTTGTGTAGAGAGAAAATCCCATCAGTTATGTAATCATTTAAAACTAAACTACTACCCTGGTGTGGAAATAAACCTGAAGTGAGACAATTGACAAAATCCCCTTTTTTTCTTCTTTTTAAAGAGAATTTAGTGACTTTCAAAAGATGTAATTAATAAACAAGGCTACGCTTCTTTAATACAACTTAAAAAGTCCTTCCTGTAGCCTTCTCACTCATATGAAATAATACATCAGTATCCAGTGAAGAAAACTGATATCCAGGTATCTCCGTGCTGTTATTCAGTGCTCAACAAATCCATACGCTTTGTTTTCACACATGTAAGAAGAATCAATATGTCTAACTTGGAGGTGTAGGAGGTGAATAAAAGGGTAAAGAGTATTAGTTTACAGCAACTAAGAAAAGCTGTTACATAGGTAGTGTTTTGTTATTTTCTGGATATTTTTAGTGCTAACATTCTACTACTACTACTATTACTAATACTACTAATATACTACTTGAATATAAATTCAGTCAAAAAACAGAAACAAATTTGCTGGCAGAGAGCCGGTAATGTCACACCTGATCAGTCCTTATTCTGAAAGGCAAGACTGAAATGGACCAAGCGTATAAAACAGCTCTGGGTGCCTGACTGATAAAGTGTTATGGAAGGAGCAGCGTCTAATGTGACACGTTTACACTGTGCTTCTGAAAACATTATAAGAGAATTTCCATTACACCAGAATTGCCCTTTGATTCTTATTTGCCCTGAGGAGCTGTAAGAAGAATTACATCTTCTACCACCCACACACATACACACATGCTATGATTAATAGTGGGTAATAGCTGAGGGGATGCAGAAGGCCCAACCTCGTGTCTCCCAGGAAACATAAACTTTGACATTATCAGAGGATTTAATTAAACAATGCTTGTTCGAACCCTTCCGTGCAATTAATCACTGCCATCTTCTAACATCACACACACACACACAAAACCAATCCTAAACACACAAGCAGGAAAGTCGAGTGTGAATAGATGTAAAGTTTTGGATCTAACGGCTTTACAAAAGCAAGCAGACAGATTATTACTGGAGAGACACACGGGGAAAGTGTTGTGTGAGAGCATTTCTTTTTGCGTCAGAGACAAAGACAGAGAAGTACTTTTTGCTGAATAACTGGAATTCGAGTAAGTAAATACACCCTTTGGTTAAAAAATAATAGCGCCTGAATAAGTGCTGATTGTTAAAACAAGCTGAGAAAATGGAAAAAGCTTTGACTAATGTTTGTCCAAACTGCTACTAAATCACATGGAGATGTTTTACTTTCTCAGCAGACAGGAGCAAATTGATGTCACGTTATGCATATTTCCTGTAATTCAGATGACCAATTCATCTACTCTCTCTTTGTCTCAGTCTCGCACCCCCCTCTACCTTGTCTGACACCTTTAATTCTCAGTTTTGCATGCTATCCAGCTATTAACGCCCAACTAATCAATTAAGCACCTCTCTGTTAACCTGCACATCTTAGAAAAGTAGCAAACTCTTGATTAATTCCTTAGTAGCTACTCAGTATTTCCTGTACAAAGTATCACTAAATAACTTCAATTTAAAACATTAGATGAAACCTCTTGTAAATATTGGAAGGAGCAGATTCTATATGTTATTCTATATATTCTGCATATATATATAATAACAAATCTGGCTCCTAGATATGTGTTTTGCCAGTTGAGTTTTGAGAAGAACATAATTGCTACAAGGATTATGTTCAACAGTTAGTTAAGGTTAGGGAAAGAATGTGTCACAGTATCTGTCACAGTCCTGTTTTGGCTTATCTTTCCTCTCTGTTCATCCCTTTCAGTCATCTCTCTCTTCTTCATTTCCATGCATCATTGCCATTCTCCTCTCATCCACCGGATGCCCTCAAACTTTTCCACCTTTTTTCCTGCTAGGCCTACTTAACTGCCCTTCCCCGCCCGCCTCCTCACCTCTTCCCACTTCCCCTAATCAGCCCAATAGTACATACACTGGTTAATTTCCACCAGTACTCTGTCAGTTCATCCTAGTTGCTTTGTTTGCCTTTGCTGTGTGATTTTGGCTGTCTGGATCTGCTGTTACCTGTCTAGGTCTGCCTACTGTAGCTATCACTGAAGTCATCCTGCAGCCTCTTCTGGCTGCGTTTGGGTCCTATTTCAGTTGCCCTGCATAACCAGCTGTGACAGAATGTGGCCTTTTTCCGCTTATTTTTTCAATACTCAACCAAGAACATTATCTTTCCCTTACCGTAATTACATGCTGTGACAACAGTAATAATGCTTTAGTTACTATACGCAGACAAGAGCAGGAAATAACAATGAAATGTATTAATATTGCAGCATGTATGAACATTTTGCAACTTGGCACAATTATTCTCATTAAAAATGTTTCCCTATTATGTAATATATAAACATCTATGCTTACTGACATTTAAACAAATCAGCCCTACTTTAACTGTGCCAGTATTTTAGTGGGTAGTTTTAAAACCAGAAAGTAATATATCATGCATGGCAAATAGTGTGATTTTGCCCACATGTCCTGGGTGCACTGGGAGAACCTCCTGCCAGACTCTCATTCTCACCTCCTCTTCCCTTCCTCTCTGAGATGGACAGAGGAGAGCCAGGCAGAGGGAGGTGTTAGTGGGGTGCAAAGAGACAGAGGGAGGGAGAAGTGAAAGAGAAAAGAGACCAGAGTCGATAGAAAAGTAGAGAGTGAGAGAGGGCAAAAGGAAAGAGCAGTTGTTAATAAAAAGTAATTCCCAAAGTGAATGAAAAAAATGTTTAGGGACAACCCAACTTCAATGAAGAGGAACATTATCAGTGATGAAGAAAAGCTGCACATTGATGTCCTTTCATAAATGTATTGCTTTAATCATCAATTAGCATGATATTGAACCGTCTGTTGTTGTTGTGACAATGTCATGGTTGCTGCAGGAATCTGTTTATAATCTATTTTTAATTAAAAGATAAACATTGAGACTGAAGTGAAAGCAAGTGAAGTGAGGGAGAAAGGGGTAGAGTTACAGAGGGAGTGGGTGTAGTGAGAGAGAAACGAGAAGAGAAACAGAAATCGCTCTTGAGATTGGAAGTGGTGAGTATAGCAGCGTTAATTAAACAGCTTAGCCCCGAAGAAGATACTACACCTCCTCTGGCACTCTCTTCTCCTCCATTTATTCCGTTTGTATTATCTTATACTCCCTTCCCTCCCTGGCACTCTATTTATCAATATACTATCCCCACTGCCACCAGCTTCTCACTATCTGACTGTTTGGGCTGAATCACCCTCAGCTTCATAGAAGCGGTCAGGACGCAAGAGGAGAAACACAATCAGAATAACTGCAACAAAAGAAGATTTTTTGAGTTTGTTTCAACTCTGTGGGATCTGAGTTTTTTTGTGCCTGGGAGGACACAATGCACTGTTACATATATTCTTACAACTAAACACAGTCAGGACTATAGTAAGTCTTCTCACACACTCACACACTCTCTCTCTCACACACACACACACACACACACACACACACACACACACACACACAGTAACAAAGTATTTTGCAATCAACGCTTACTCATGGTAAGGCACCAGTGGTTCAATATGTCTTGCAGCTATTGAATAAGAATATATTGAGGATGATAGTGTTAAAAAATACATTCCTGGAGTGTCTCTGTTAATATAGACAATAAGTGTCTGCATCAGTTAGAACTGTTCTCTTGATGGTCCCATTACTCAGACAGAGGAATACAATCGCACACACAAAAGCCTTAGTATGAGTGGAAAGTAAATACTAAATAGATAATCATAATTTGCTGTTACACCAGAGGCAAATGTCTTTTTACATTGAGGTCTTATTCCCAAACAATTCTGCTTTTTCATTACTGGCTGCGTAAAAATAGAAAGTGAGATGAATGGAGAAACAGCAAAGAGAGAGATTTTTGGCCACATACTGACTGGAACTGACACTGCTCCCAAGTGGTTCAAGACCAAATGAGTGACCCCTGTCAATGCAATGCACACACCTGACTAAAAATACCCAGGGGGCCATAGGCTTAGCCCTGGACGAATCAGAGGTCCTGGCAGCAAACAGCCATCTGACCACAAATGCCCCTGTTGACAGCAAAGCACCTGAGCTTACTGCCAGCAGCAAAATGACGGATTAGAGATGCAGCAGGGGAGGAACTAAATACACCTGATGCTCTCTTCTCTCTCCTTTTACCTTCTTCTTCCACCATCCTTCAACTACACCCAGGTCACCTTCCCACTGCTCTTCTGTCTTTGTCATACTGTTTCGTTATAAGGCACCGTGTTACGTTCACAGTAGCCACAATACCCTCACTGCCCTCTCGTATTAAGGGAAAACACCACAGACAGTCGCAATCACTGAAATTGCCCATGGCATTTTGCATTTAGTTACATCATGTCCTAAAAAGTTCATAAACATGTCACAGCACAGTGCTGAACATTTTAGTTGTTTATATCTCTGAAGAAATAAATTAATTAATTAACAATAATAACAATAATAATAAAGATCTACAGGAATATTCATGGTGTGGCAAAGGGTGATATGGAGACATCAATGGGTAGCAGAAAAACAAGCTTATTTAATAGCAAAATCACATATATTTACCAAGTAAGGATATATTAACTAAAAAATAAAAAATACATTATTGTGACACATTGAATAGAAATATCTTAAGGTGGCATTAGATATCAATTAGAACTTAAGCCTAAAATGTGACCATAACAGATCATAAAATT